CTTAAATTAAGAATGCGCAATAGCATAAGCAGCCCGTCGTCGTCGTCGTCGTCGTCGTTGGGTCTCAGCGCTGTCCATGCGGAGGCTTGTATTGCATTCTGCCAGTTGTATGATACTTGTAAGCTACTGTGATCTATAAACACCGTCTTGGAGAGATCCCTGCCAAGCCTTGTTAGACACTTGATGTGTCTGCTATATTGTCGAAAACAATGCTTCCCGCAGAGTAAGTGACATTATCTTGCGGCCCCGGTTGATCCTCTCGACGACTTCCGTCGCACGTCTTGCATTTTCGCCAGAAGCCGAAGTAAAGGCAACAGGCGAAGCAGATCATCATCGCCGTAGGATCGCAGCGCTGTCCATGCGGACACCTGTATTGCATTCTTCCAGTTGTACGCTACTTGCACATAATGGTCATCGTCTCATCGATGAACACGGTCCTAGATCCTGGAGAGATCGTATTTTTTTGTATTTTATTATATTTAAGGATTTCCTAAAGGCTTTGCGCCTATCGAGGGGATCTCCTGCGAGAAGAATGAAATGACAACTTTATGTAGAGGAAGTGGTTAAGGAAAATAGATCAAGGCATACAAAATCTGGTAATTAAGGAGTTGGGATACCGTCAGTGTAATGAATATATCGGCGAAAATGCTGATAGAGAGAATGCTTGAATTCGGGGAGGCTGGTTATACAGGTAAGAGAAGGCGGTAGGCAATTCCATAGCATTGCAGCTCTGTTGGAAAAGAAGGAAGAAAAAGATCGCGACCAAGCCTTGCTAGACACTTGATGTATTCGCCGTTCTGCCGAAAACAATGCTTCGTGTAGAGCACGTGACTCACTATCTTGTGTCCCCGCCTCCCCGGTAGATCCACTCCACGACTTGCTTTGCCAATCCTGCTGTAGTAGCTGTTTACACTATTATCTCATAGAATCGGCTCAGTTCCCGCATGAAGTAACATTAGTTGATCAGCTGAGGTCTAGCGTCCATAAGTAGAGTCTCTGTTGCTCCCCTGCTCACGGTGAGGTGTACTAGCCGGTGATTCAGATGGTCACGTGATCCGTGGATGAGAGTCTCATCAAGGTCGAGTACCAATGTCCACTGTGGCTTCGGAGGCAGATAAGGCAGGTATTGCAAAGCCCCCGGAATCCCGGCTGCGCGAAGAAGATGGCGTTCACTAGGCATTGTCTTTGGTAGTGGTATAAACCTCTCAAACTTTGCCTATTCGTCTCGCGAGACTGACGGTTAACTGCACAACGAAAACCTTTTAAAAAACCAGTAGCATCCAAGAGTCAAAGACTACGGACATGTCAGACAAGAAATGATGTGATGTTTCCAGGGCATTATAATCCATTCGGATTGAAAGGAACTCTCGCTTCTCACCCTCATAAACGTTTCGCCATGTGTATAAGTTTAAGTGCAAAAAAAGCGAAAGCAGAGGTGCCAGCATCTCATTCATGTCTATTTGTTAGTAAAAACACGTCTAAGGCTGCATAAATGTATCACTGTCAACAATCAAAGGCTTTGGATCACGCTGTCGCACAGGATTAATGCCGAGGAAACAAGGTGTTGCTGGTATCAACCTCTCCTCAATCCTGACACCCATACAAGTATCGACCGGCTAAGAGATAGGTTTGTCATGTGGTAACGCAATTATCTTCTGTCCAATTTGCATTATTTGGTGTGAAAAGAAGCAGGCAAGTGTCACCTTTCCAGTGATGGAGAAAAGAGCATAATGCCGTGATACAATGCAGAGTTAGGTGCCAGTAATACGAGGCGGCTCAGGCCTGTTGTAGGTCGACGTGCGAAACGACAAACATATCCCCAGTGATATTTTGTAGGGATAAAGATGGTGTTTGCAGAAAGATTGACGAGGATACGTCCCAGTACTAGCAACCTTACCATTCGCAACCATTTCAGGTGTGCATTTGATACCAGAAGCAATGGAAGTGGTCAGAGTGAAACGGAGCGATGCGGCGAGACAGACAACAGGAAAGAAGGTGAGTGGTTAGACAATCTGGGCTGAAACACGCTGTGCAAAGAAGACCGCCTACGGGCAATATATCGATTTGGGGAGCCAGGAGTGTCAGTAAACAACTTGAGAGCATGATACTGACTCACACTGCTATCTGGTGTTCACGAGGTGTTTGTAGCGCTGGAAACAGATCGTCTCTGTACGAGTAAGCAGCGTGAGTCAGTGTCGCTCATGGAGGTGCTGAACAATCGCATCTCCTCTTCACTTTGTAATGAACTCAGTGTGAAACACCCCACGCATTGATTTCTGGTCTTTGGACCCAGTGGAAACTACGACTGGTTGCCAAGGTGGGCTGTGTGACTGCCTTTGGTACATTTGTGACTGTATGTCTGATCATGGGACGTTAGTTACTGCATGATTGATGCAGGGCCTGTGACTGTACACAGCGCCTGTGACTGTACACAGGGCCTGTGACTGTACACAGGGCCTGTGACTGTACACAGGGCCTGTGACTGTACACAGGGCCTGTGACTGTACACAGGGCCTGTGACTGTACACAGGGCCTGTGACTGTACACAGGGCCTGTGACTGTACACAGGGCCTGTGACTGTACACAGGGCCTGTGACTGTACACAGCGCCTGTGACTGTACACAGGGCCTGTGACTGTACACAGGGCCTGTGACTGTACACAGGGCCTGTGACTGTACACAGGGCCTGTGACTGTACACAGGGCCTGTGACTGTACACAGGGCCTGTGACTGTACACAGGGCCTGTGACTGTACACAGGGCCTGTGACTGTACACAGGGCCTGTGACTGTACACAGGGCCTGTGACTGTACACAGGGCCTGTGACTGTACACAGGGCCTGTGACTGTACACAGGGCCTGTGACTGTACACAGGGCCTGTGACTGTACACAGGGCCTGTGACTGTACACAGGGCCTGTGACTGTACACAGGGCCTGTGACTGTACACAGGGCCTGTGACTGTACACAGGGCCTGTGACTGTACACAGGGCCTGTGACTGTACACAGGGCCTGTGACTGTACACAGGGCCTGTGACTGTACACAGGGCCTGTGACTGTAAACAGGGCCTGTGACTGTACACAGGGCCTGTGACTGTACACAGGGCCTGTGACTGTACACAGGGCCTGTGACTGTACACAGGGCCTGTGACTGTACACAGGGCCTGTGACTGTACACAGGGCCTGTGACTGTAAACAGGGCCTGTGACTGTACACAGGGCCTGTGACTGTACACAGGGCCTGTGACTGTACACAGGGCCTGTGACTGTACACAGGGCCTGTGACTGTACACAGGGCCTGTGACTGTACACAGGGCCTGTGACTGTACACAGGGCCTGTGACTGTACACAGGGCCTGTGACTGTACACAGGGCCTGTGACTGTACACAGGGCCTGTGTACAGTCACAGGACTCTGATTGGTTAGAGAGTCCTGCATAGATATTCTGCCTGGAAGAGAGTTGGAAAGCACAACAATTCACCTTAAACCTGCCCAGCTCATTGGCTACATACCCAAATGCGCATTTCCATACACCATCATCAACACCTGGAACGTGCTGCCATCCTCCCTCTTCACCAAACCACCATCTCCTAAGGGCCTACAATCCTTCAAAGCGAGCGTCCACTACCATCTTCGCTGAAGCCAGTGGCTTTGGGCAACAGACTCCCTCTAACAGTTCAGAATGAAGCTCCCCCCCCCCAGCATTGCATCATGTTCAGTGACTTGTTCACAGCCATCTGTACTGCCTTTGAATTTACTTTTCTCTCTTCTTGTTGTCTCTCCCCCCCCCATCTCCCTCTTTCTCTCTCTCTCTCTCTCTCTCTCTCTCTCTCTCTCTCTCTCTCTCTCTCTCTCTCTCTCTCTCTCGCTCTCTCTCTCTCTTTCTCTCTCTCTCCTCAACCATTCTAACTCACCTTCTCTTGTCTTTATCGCACTAAATCACCCCCTTCTTTTAGGCTATGGTTCGCAAGCTCACGTTAACGCCGAGACCATAGGTCGGTGTTGTGGGCTTGCCTCACCAGCACAGGCTTGCTTTGCAGCCGTACTCTCTCTGCTGTTTTGTTATTGTATATTCTGTTGTCCTCTCCCCTTCTGATGACTAGGTTGTGTAGTTAGTAAAAAACAAAAAATCCACTTATATAGTGCTCTCCAGGCAAAACCATCACCAGGGATACGACCGTACAGAGACGCTCGGCTTCAAGTGGTGTAAAGAACTGACCGCATGCGGGCGTTGCATACTGGCAAGCCAATCATGCACATGGGGCTCCACAGCAGGTTCCGGATGAGGAGACCACTCAGAAAGTCTACTCATTGGAGCACTATAGCCAACTGACGTTGCTCTGCTGCTCAGACTCCGTGGCTTCGGTGGTGGTGTTGGCCGTGTGCGTGGTGCTGGGATCGGTGGCACAGGCCGCATGTGCGGTGATGTTAACAATGGCACAGGGGTGACCCGTTCTGCGACTGCTGATTGTCGGCCTGATGCCACTTGGCCAGAAACAGACTTAACAGGCGAATCCAAAATCGCCTCAGCAGCAGCCATCACATCAACACTCTCTTTATCAAGTTTCGCCTTCCACTCGTCCAAATCATTCAGCAGTTGTTCACTCTCTTGGGATTCCAACATACTGCACATTATCTCTAAAACCGAATTCAGCTCTGACCGTACAAATTCCAATTCACGGCCATCTGGCTGCAAATATCGGCGAGACGACGATGAGCAAGCAATCGGTTACTTATCCGCATTTGGCGTCTACGGAGGTTCATTCTGCGACGAAGTAACTCTTGCTAGCGGTCCTCAAGTTCCTCAACAGGAGTTACACCCACGCTCGTATCATAATGGCGTGGCGTGAAACTACGAGTCACAAACTCTGGTGGTCGCGGAAATGCCATTGCCACGGCTGACACTACCAGTCGAAACTTGTCGGATCCGGCTCAAAGGACCAAATGTTTCACCGGTTCCCTCGCAAACCCACACTTACATCAGACACAACCATTGGAGGCATCGATCTATTTAGAAGACTGTATTACCAAACATGTTCTCAAAACACCATTGAAGAATCAAACCAAAAAAAAGAAAAGAATGGAGAGCTGGGGTCGCACGTACCCGGCCCCCTACCGGACACCCAGCCAAGGAGAATGACACCATAGCGTACCTACGCTTGACAGGCAAAGAAAACAGCAAGCAAAGAAAATCGGCCAGCGGGCGCAGTTCAAACATCTTGAACGACATGCGCAAAGCAAACCACGTGACAGAAAATAATGCATGATGTCATCTATACTCACGTGGACATGCAAAAAAGGTCAAATCTACACAAAAGCGAGTGCCGCAAGAAACAGCACAAATAAAATATTAATAATAATTCAAACAGCGAAGAACAAGAATGTATTGTAGAGTCCCAGCACAACTGCCGGAGGATGCTGGCACCCACCAGACGGGTGGTGGCTGCCCCTGCCAGAGAGATAGAACGAAAACTGAAGCAGAGGAGCCACGTTACAAATAGTGAAATGCGCAAGGTAAGAATAATCGAACAGTGTCCAATTATGACATACTGAGTAATATACATGATAAACGAACACAAACACTAACAAATGGAGAATGTTCCAACATGACTTACATGTCGGAAGCAAGGTTGCACGTGGTGTTACTTGGGTGCGGCCTTCGCATGCAAACATAGATTTTAGGCCTCTTCCGATCACTGCGATGGTTCCATTGGTTCGTCATCTGCCTCCTTCAGCCGTCTGGCCTTGGCGGCCCTCAGATTGGCTTTACCTTTATATACTCTACTCCTTCACCAGTTACCCAAAATAACTGCATTAGTGTTTGCCCAGGGCATCGTTTATCCACTCACCTGTCTCTTCCAGTCTGTATTGGGGGAAAGAGCGTAACGTGTTCAATCTCTCCAGGGCTGGTCGCACGTCTTGCATTTTCGCCAGAAGCCTAAGTAAAGGCAACAGGCGAAGCAGATCATCATTGCCGTAGGATCGCAGCGCTGTCCACGCGGACACCTGTATTGCATTCTTCCAGTTGTACGCTACTTGCACATAATGGTCATCGATGAACACGGTCCTGGCGAGATCGCGACCAAGCCTTGCTAGACATTTGATGTATTCGCCGTTCTGCCGAAAACAATGCTTCTCGTAGAGCACGTGACTCACTATCTTGTGTCCCCGGTTGATCCACTCAACGACTTGCTTTGCCAATCCTGCTGTAGTAGCTGTGTATACTATGATTTCGTAGAGTCGGCTCAGTTCTTCCAAGAAATGTATCAGGTAAGGCCTAGCGTAAATGAGTATCTTCTCTTTTGCTCCCATTCTCACGGTGAGGGTTGCCAACCGGTGTTTCAGACAGCCACGCGATCCGTGGATGAGAGTCTGATCAAGGTCCAGTACCAATGTGTACTGTGGCTTAGTGATAGACTTTGGAGGCAGATAGGGTGGTCCCATTTGCAGAATCACCGGAATACGGGGTGCATGAAGAAGAAGGCGTTCAACATACAGTGCACGCTGTATTCTCAAAACAGCATTCTTATCTCTGATCCTAACTGCATGCCAAGTGTGCATAACTGTTATCACTCCGGATTTGACATTCTTGGATGATTTCTCTTTGAATATTCTTTCAATTGACCTTTTACTGTCCATCGTTGAACTCAATCTGAATTGTACATCTGAAAGAGGAAAGAAGGTGTGTTTCTCCGTTTGGCAAGCACTGTTTCCAGCCGATGGGCTTTGGCAATAGACTGACTGGCAAGAACGTACGTTGTGGCGACCTCAGTGGTACAAGTAGGTAGAGTTGGATGCTCCTGAGTGGAACATAAAGATAACAAAAAGGAGAGAGAGAAGGAGAGAGAGAAAAAAAGGAAAGAGAGAGAGAGAAGAGGCGGGAAATAGAAGGGAAGAGAAAGAGTGGGGAAGGAGTAGAATGTCATTTCACAGGCAAATAATACTGTGGATGACCAAAAAGACAAACATGGAAGAGTAATGTCTAACGGTCCATCAATGCAACCAAAAATGTACACCCTCAATGTAACCCTTTAAGTTTATGTAAAGTCAGATAGCGCACCAACTATGGTGCACTGTGGCGTGGTTCGCACTTTATGGCTGGCCAACGCCCCCTCCTTTGTATTGGCTTTGGCCATTGGAGGGTGAAATAAAAAAATAAAAAAAATATTATTTGTATGGATATGCAAAAGAGAAAGACCAAGGAACTACAAGTTACGCTATACTTTCCACTAACACCACCAGCAGGTACTAAACAATCAGCTCATGCGATAACATTGCACGACACTGACTGACGGTACTGACGTTCTACAACTAACTGGCTAACAGCTCTAGCACATCTTGGATGCGCACTCCAACAGCTGAGACTTTCAGCTCGACTTTCAGCTCGTGCTTGTCTTGGTTGCGCTCACCTTCCCCTCCTTATGTTAGAATCTTCCAAGTTGGAAGGCTGTGATCTAAAGAGCACCAGGCCCATCCTCCGGTGACGCGAAAGACAAAACGTGCAGGAAACCCAGGGAAGGTGGACAATCAAAAAATGAACTGCAGATACACCTATTTATACAAGCTTCGGTGCCTCCCAACCAGCTCGCTACTGCGAGCAATGATCCCTGCCGTTGCACCAGAGCTGCAAGGGCATCCTCGCACTTGCCAGCAGAGCCGGATTTGCCATGCACTGCAGTTTGCCATGCCCCACAACCGTCACTCACGCAACAGTGTGCAGCGATCATTTCCCTCCGCCATCCTTGGGGAGAGGAATGGCCTTCCTCCAGAGCTCATCCCAGCACCACCCACTCTACCTCGCCTCCAGCAGTTCAAAGAAGGCGTTCATAATTATCTGCGATCTGCTGACTGGCATTGGGCCTCTACGCACCTGTAATATGTGCGTGCGTGTTTGTGTGTGTGTGTGTGTGTGTGTTTGTCCGTGCATGCGTTTGGATACCTGTGTGTATATACATGTACATGTACTCAATCTGCGGACAGCATGCTGTTTCGTTTTTTTTGAACTCATCAGCGCAGCACAGAGGAAATGAGGCCGAACCTGATAGCAATGGAAATATAAATTTCCAATCAGGCCCGAACGTACCTTGCCAGAGTGCTCAAAACTGACAAGTCAGTGAGCTCTGCATAACGCAAACAGCAAAGGCACTACCCCACGCAAGAGTGCTCAACTGCTACAAGAGCAGGAGCGAAATACTCAATCTGCGGACAGCATGCTGTTTCGTTCTTTTTGAACTCATCAGCGCAGCACAGAGGAAATGAGGCCGAACCTGATAGCAATGGAAATAAAAATTTCCAATCAGGCCCGAACGTACCTTGCCAGAGTGCTCAAAACTGACAAGTCAGTGAGCTCTGCATAACGCAAACAGCAAAGGCACTACCCCACGCAAGAGTGCTCAACTGCTACAAGAGCAGGAGCGAAATACTCAATCTGCGGACAGCATGCTGTTTCGTTCTGGTACATGTATATAATATGCCTCAACCAGCGAAAACAGCCCTTAGTAGGGCCAAAATTTTCAAAATTCCTTTTTCGTTCGAAATTTGTTGAAACACATCTACTGAAGGACCTCAGCCAAGAAAGAGTTCAATATTCCTATTCCAAAACCGGTGTATACACCAATATACAACGTGTACTCCAAATTGGTGCAATGTATGTATACGATGTATGTGTACAATACATATTCAGCATTCTAAGGTGGGAGGGCAGCTTCAATACCTTTGAAACAGTGCAGTAGGCAGCTAGAATGACAAAGAATAGCTCAAGAGTGGAGACATTACGAAGTAGTGGTTGCGACTGTGCAGACATGATCAACAAATTCGCAGTTGCATCCTGCGTGGAGTTGTTCCACAATCTCGTGTTCCATTTAGTCATCCGCAGCTGAAAACACGACGTCGCTGCCGTCACTAGCCCCAGACTCAGAATTTATCTCAGGTGACGACTCCTCATCTTCCATCTCTGACAAGTCATCGGCCACCTTGATCCGCATCGCAGCAGGAGATGACGGCTGCAATTCTTTCTCGCTGTCGACATCGATGTCGGAACCAAAGAACGTCTCATCCTCACTCTGAACTTCAGCGTCTACTTCAGCATCCACTCCCCACCAGGCTCGAGTTAGCTGTACACAATGAGTGCCGCAAGTGCTCTGCGAACAGCTCTGGCGTCCGCAGCCATCGCAACAAGATCAAGGAACACTTGAGTCGCCACTCGACACCACTTCAACTAACTTCAAAATATGTATTATTACTTCACGCAAGGAGTTCAAGTCGTCACGCTGTTCGCAGAACGATAAAAAAACGTTGAACGTCACAAATCGACTTTTATCTCGAAAAAATTACGAAACCTCTAAGGGTCGTTTTCGCTTATTGCAGCTCACGTGTGTGTGTGTGTGTGTGTGTGTGTGTGTGTGTGTGTGTGTGTGTGTGTGTGTGTGTGTGTGTGTGTGGTGTGTGTGCATGCATTTGGATGCATGTGTGTGTGTGTGTGTGTGTTTTGTGTGAGGCAAGTGCGTGGCCCTTATGGCGTTGGTACCCTGAACGAAGCTAGTGGGGAACTGTTGAGCTTTCTATCCAATAATAATAATTCAACTCTTGACTCTGTAATACATATACCAAGAAAAAGGACCTTTATGAAGTTACCTGGCAGCACCCACGCTCACAGCACTGTCACTCTATTGATTATGTGATCAGCCGGCAGCGGGATTTTCAGCGCTCTTCAGATTGTCGCGTGTACCGGTCTGCCGAGTGTGGGACTGATCACAAACTTGTTGGGCTAGCATTGTCACTTGGTTGCCGCCGGCGTTTCTACTCACCAAAGAGCAAGGCCCCTGATCGCCGTCGCTTTGATGTATCACAGCTAGGACCTGCTGACCCAAATGCACCAGAGGATGATGATATAGTAAGGCAGGCAAATGTGGCTGAGTGGTACCATACTTTTTCCGACTGATTGCAAGATGCTACACCAGGGACCTCAGTTCAGGATCAATGGAGTTCACTACGGAACGTCACAGTTAAGGCAGATACCTCTGTTCTAGACAAGAGTCGCCGTTGCCAGCCAGATTGGTTCTCAGCCAGTTCTGCCACTCTCGAGCCTCTCCTTGCGCATCGTAACGTTCTATTTTAAAAATTGTTAGCAGACCCATCACCTCTGGTTCATTGGGAGTTTGTCCGCGCACGCTCAGCTGCGAGAGATGCTGTACGCAGTGCTAATGAGGATTGGTTCCGTAAGACTGCGCCTGAGGCCAAATCTAGGAAGTTCGCGTGTAAGGCTGTGTGGAACAGCATCCGGGACTTACCGACTGCCCGGCGTGGATTGGTTCCCACTAAGTCGTTCATGATCAAACAGACTGATGGCTCACCATGCTCGTCTGCTGAGGCACAGCAGAACCGCTGGTCTGAGCATTTCGAAAAAAACTGCTGAACCTTCCAAGCAGCTTTGTCCATCTCACCCACTCCTGAAGAGGTCCAGCACTGCCTTTGCTTTCTTATGAACGGGAAAGCTGCTGGAAGCCCCGGCATTCTACCGAAAATGGTCAAATTCAACTGCGACCTATTCTATTCCAATCTGTTTAAGCTCGTTACCGCGGTTTGGGAGGAGGGCGTAGTATCGCAAGATTGGGTGAATGCTGAGATAATACCGATTCCCAAGAAGGGTGACCTCACTAGCTGCAACAACTGGCATGGCATCCGACTCCTTGACGTCATTGGCAAGCTGTTCTGACGCCTGCTGCAAAACCGATTGCAAAAAGTCGCCGAAAGTGTGCTGCCTGAATTACAGTGTGGTTTCCGGAAAGGTCGCTCCTGCACGGACATGACGTTCGTTGGTCGCCAGGTTGTGGAGGAGTGTCAGGAGCATCATACCAAGGGATTCCTCGATTCAGCTCCGCATGCTGCACTGTGGATTGTCCTGCTGAAGCCTGGAGTCCCTGAGCAACTGGTCAGCCTTCTGAAGTCTTTTCACGACAACATGACAGCCACGATCATCGTCAATGGCTCCTCCACTGAAAGATTCCCAGTGTAGCAGTGGCACCCATGATTAGTGACCTTCGGCAACATCATTCGGATATTGTGCTGGTATGCGGAGGATGCCGAAGCTGGTGGTCGGCTGTCGGCAGTTCATGCGCTTTCGCGTAACATCACCTCTCTTGGTCCACAGTATGGATACAATCCAAATACTGCCAATACTTAGTTACTAGTCAAGCCTGTATTGGAGGAGGAAGCAAGGATTTTGTTTGCGTACACATCAAGTGATATAAAGAGTGATGGTGTCCGTTACTTGGATGGCGCAATTGGCACGCAGGAGTATATCACTGAAATTCTGTGCTGTCATGTGCCATTTTGGAGTAAGGAGGTATGTGCGTTTGCAAGGTTTGCCAGGACGCAGCTACATGCGGCTTACAGGGCTTTTACCAGAGGCCTGCGTGGGAAGTAGCATTATCATCTGCGATCCCACAAAGACCCAGAATCTGCGTGTGATGATGAACTGGACAGTGTCATTGGCTTAGACTTTATTCCGGCACTCACTGGCCGTCACAACCTGTCAGATACTGAACGCAAACTTTTGGCACTGCATGTCAGGTTCGGTGGCCTCGCCCTCCCAAGTATTGCCCATGATGCCAGCGAACAGCGAATAGTTAGTCTGAGGGTAGCATGGCCCAAATCTGATGCTGCTCCACCGGCCGTCGGTATTGCTCAGGCACGGGCTCTCGGCAAGGGTGAGCTGAGGTTGCGTATGCCTGCTTATCGTCAGTTGCAGGTGGACATGTCCTCAAGGCTGTGCAATCAGCAGAGGCTGCTGGTGGAGTGTGCTGCTGACCCTGGGTTTGGAAGCTAGCTGACTGCTGAGTCCCTGGCAGAGAGTGAAGAATTTGGTTGGCTTAATTATCAACAGGCATTCTGATTTGCATTATTCATGTGGTACGGCAAGATTGAAGACCTGTATCTCTTCCTTAGCGGATTATGCTCGGTAAATTTCTAAATTATGCTTTCCATTATGCCAGTGATTATGCCAGTGATTATGCTACATTATGCTGGAATTATACCAATGATGGTGCTATACTGTACCCTTGCACTCGTGTTGCACTTTGCAATGTTACAACGACTCTGGCACCATGACAGCACGGCTTATACAGGTCCTGCCTCATTATAACGAGTCCGGCTGGTACGTAAATCTCGTTAGTAAATACTTCGTAGAAATCTGAAATCCGCTGGTGAAATGTGGTCTATACAACTGGTTAAAGGCCGGATTACAACATAATTCGTTAGAAACTTACTACATAACATTCATTACGACCATTTGCCCAGGTCCCTGGAGTGACAAACCTTCAGTATAAGATAATATTGATTGACTATGCAAGACCCAGGCCAAAACACAGCAGAAATCAGAAAGACACAACGTATTATATCTATGTATTCGTAGACATGTACGAACGTTTGCATCCACGGAAGAGCTATGTTGGAGATTTTTCAACTATCTTATAAGGAGTTGAAGCGTCATTAATTTCTGTTGTATCGAGGGTAGCTGGAGTAAGTACGAATTAGTGCCTATTTTACCTTAAGCTGCAAGTCCTGCTACAAGATAAGTCTTGTTGCAAGATAACTTTTTTGATGGCCCAGAGATTATCTACTAACGAGGGAGGACGCGTAATGGGTAACATTCACTACCGTATTTCTCCGTAAGTAAGTTCTCCCCAATGACTTAGTACCCCCTATAAAAAATACATGTTCCACTGCCGAGGTTATCACCCCGAAAGACAGTTCTCCCCGAAAGATAGTAAGTTCGTACCCGTCCTACATGTAGACACCGTACAGTACATACATCATATGCACGGACACTAGAGTAGGCTTCTCTCACTGCGTGTCATTTACCCCCGATAAAAAAGTACTCCCGGAAAGATAGTACCACCCCCGAAAGTTAGTACTCATGTGGCTGCTAAGTTCGAAAGTTAGTACGTACTAATTTACGGGGAAATACGGTAGGTTTTTTCCTACAGCATGCCTGAATATGCCTGGAGCATTATTCTTCAGCCAGCATCGTAAGGTTATGCCGACCATCTGGTCTCAGAAGTTATTTTATGCCAGGGCATGATTTTCATGATTTTTAGACAAAGTCCGAAGATTATGCCGGATATTATGCCAGCATAATCAGCCAAGGGCTACAAATAATAGCCACTTGCTTACCGCCTTTCTAATTCACCTGCTGAATTTCGATCATCCATCAAGACTTTCTTAGGGTTCCCTGTAAAAAGGCGATGACGCCTGTTGGGAATTCCCTAGTAAAATAATAATACAAAATAAATATAACTCGGATTGTTAACCAATTTAATTAGGGTTGAAAAGGAGAAGGACAAAATGTTACGAGTTATGACTAACTGTCCACCAACTTGGTTTCAGGTCTCCAAATGTCTCAGTACTCCTTGTCAGTTTTGTGCCATTTTGTCGCACTCGCTGACTGTACAATATCTGGTTATGTTGGTGGACAGTTAGGCTGCGTTTACACGACAACGCACGGCCAGTTTTCCGTTTTCAGTCCCGCATTTCTTTTTTCGTTTTCGTACGTTTACACGATCAAAGCCGATCCGAGGTGGTCTCCGTTTGTACCGTTTTCAAGCGTCTACACGAGAGCAAAGGATCCGCCAAAGTTCGTCATGTGCCAAGTGTTGCCGTGGAAGCACCAATCACACTCAAGTAATGGTTGAAAACAGGCACACGACAACACACGTCACATGACGAAAATTGCAAAAAACAATTTTTTGAATTGTCGGATCCGTGTAAACGGCCGAAAACGAAACAAACGTGACGGAAAACGAGGCCAGCACACCGTTTCGACTGTTTACACACCCTAATTTATCCGGCAGAACATTTCCGTTTTCACCTTGGCCAGCGTTTTGGTTTTCTTCCGTTTTGGTGTACAACTTTTACGTTTTGCTCCGCGTACCGTGTAAATGAACCATGGATCCGAAAGGATTTCGTTGCGTTTTCGCCCCCAGCGTTGTCGTGTAAACGCAGCCTCAGTCATAACTCGTAACATTTTGTCCTCCTTTTTCACCAAAAAATATTTAAAAACTAATAAAATGACTTTTTCTGGTGTTTGATGCACTAACCCTCTCTTATTGTTTCTTTCGGACTTGACTTCTGTACATTCTGCTTCTATTATCAATAGACCAATCCCAAAAAGATTGTCTGGATCCGAAAAAAAGGGGGGGGCATGTCAACTGAGAGTACGCTGAACAACACATACATGTATATGGCACTACCTGATCAGCATGCGGCACAAGATGTGTTTTATAGTTCGCGTGTGAATGCGAGGGTAAGTACACCCTTTTCTCGTTAGTTGCACACAAGAAAGACGATGCGACAGAAAGTAAAGCCCTTCGTAGTTTTCTCTCTCGCACTGGTAATGGTCTGCTATTGGAGTTGAAATGGCAAGACATAATCCTTGTTTCGCTCTTCTGTGTAGTGTGAAGAGGTCAACGAATATGTAGAGCTCACTTTGATGAAGTAGGCAAGTCTGTGAGCGCTGTGGCTCAAAGCGATAGGCCCTAAATCTTACGAGATATTTCGAGTGCTATTGTTTGTTGCGAGCGCTTCGTCTTCGATGAGTCCTGCCTATTTCCTGGCAGGTGCCCTCCTATAGGACCAACCACGAAGTGACTGTACTCATCGGCAGCCGATCAATGTCATAATGCACAAGAAGATAGCGTTTTCGCCAAGCCAGTGCCCCGCCAAAGACCATCGCCGTGTCACACCGTCGGAACGAGTTCATGATGAGAAACATCATTCGCGCGAGCGTGATGAAGAACTATTTCGAAAGACAACATAGTCTTTACCCCAGGACGACAACAATGCGCACATTCTGCAAGGGGAGAATGTCACAAACCACGTCAACAAAGACGACGGCAGTATTAATTTTCGGAAACCTGGAGTCAGCGGAGGTCGTCAAGCTCCTCCGCGACCCGGTACATGCACAGTATAGGTGACATGTCGACACGAGCGTGCGGAAACACAGCATACACTGTAGTAATGTTGCAAGAGTTTGCGGAAGGAGTCCAAATCGGGAGATCCATCAGCTCCAAAAGCTACCTGTAGGTGGGCGATGAGACTACAGCTTCAGACTACAACAGTCAGGACGTGTAAATCGTTGAACTTTGTGAAGCAGCAGATCGAGAAGTTAGTTGAAATCGTATTTGTTGCAGTATGTTGGCTCTATGTAGCTTGTATTTTTTTACGGAGAGTCGATCGCCACGCGAATGTTTCTCTCCTCACCGAGAGCTAGCTGGCCTCCAAACTCCGTCAGGGTCTGCCTAAGGTACCGAAGGTCCTTTGACTAGCTGCTGGCAGGACTCCATCAAATCCTTTAGCTTCAGCTCGGCAAGCAAAAGTCTCTCTCTCCTCCGCCATGAGCTGACACACACAAACTGAATACAAAACGATGCACTTCACACGAGCTGGCTTGCACGTGTGCCGTGCCCCCTTTCACGAACCCTGACAATTTTTTGGGATTGGTCTATCCTACCCCCTTGTGGTGATTAATTCCTGATGAATGCCACAAGAAAACATTTGAATCTTATCTCGACTGTTGCATTGTGACTGGTGGTGAGCGCATTTATAATCTTCATTAAATTTGTTATGTCGCTCACATGTATAAAAGGAGCCATTGCCTGTTTATGTCGCGACTTTAAATAACAATCAACAACAAAAACGACGACGACGACGGCGACCAAGGCGGCGGCGAGGACGACAACAAAAAACTGGAGAGCGGAAGCAGTTTTTTGGAGCTCGTAGTCTTTTAAGTATACTAGTCCTCTCCCAGCCTGTATGGCTGCGGATGCAGATGTAGTAAACTAGATCGTTATAGAGTGCTGATTCACTACATCTGCCAGGCGTCATGGCCTGTAACGGAGCTGATACGGAGACCTGGCGACAGCTCTCGTCTTCGACACTGAAGAAGAACACTGTTGTATTCCCCTCGCAAGCCAAGGTAAGCGTGGGGGCGTACATAAAGCTCCTTGCAGTAGGAGAGCAAGGTATCACCAGCATCATTTCATGCAGACAACAAGCAGGGGTCAATGTAGACTCACCGTTGAGTCCTATGAAAAGGCAAAATTGTCGGGTGCTCAATGGCTTGGTTTGTAAGGGCGAACGGGTTTCACAACGCTTCGTTTCAGCACCAACAATCTAGTCCTTCGCTTTCTGGTTATTGGGCAACCTGCCGGTTAGAATCTGTGAAGTAAAATACACAACAACAACAACACAGCTACACATCCATGATGCCCCGATCTGGATCTCAGACGGTGTGCTCAAAGCACCACTCTCACCGTGTGGAAAGCTAATCGGTGAGATACGACACCGAAAAATCAAACTTTCAAACAACACCCACACAGCCACTTGAGTACGCTTCGCCACTTTCGAACTACTAACAAAAAAGTCCAGGCAGTTCGATCCCGTCCTACCTGCGTAGACGGGGTCTACGACGGCGCATACCTGCCAAAATCGTGGCAGTGCAAACACATCCACGCATGCCAGATCAGAGAAAGCAGCAGCAGCACAGAGCGGAATGGCGGAGCTGGCTCTGTGACTCAGAGAGTCACCGTACCGATTCAGTGCCGAAAGCGGCCCAAAGGTTGAACCACGCAAGCGACGTAGATCTACCGGTCGACGTATCCGAAACGGCCTCCGAAGCTACCGACGCCACGCCGCAAGCATACCCGCACCCCAGCTCGCACCCAAGCGACGCGACCCAGGCAACGATCAATACGAGCACGACCTAACTGTCCTTACATCGCCGATGTCAGCAACCAGCACGACCGCACCCTGTAACCCGCCATGCCAGGCAGCACAGGTACAGGCGCACTACGACGTTACGTTCAACTCACCGCACAGCGACACAACCACATGTGTACAGCTACATGACTTGTACTCCGATCCTTCCACAACAATGTAATCACCAATACAAGATTCGGCGCTAAAGACCTCCTCTCCTCACTGATACTGGTGACTCACACAGCAATGACTTTTTTCTTTCTTTTTTCTACAAAATCCACATATCTCCAGACACTGGGGTGAATTTGGAGTGTGGTGGTGGGGCGCATTAACCGCCGACCAGAGGTCTCGGCTTCATAGCTCCATGGAAGCACCAAAGGGAGATGGGGTAGGGAGGATTAAGTTGAAAAAGAAAACAGAAGAAAGAGAATGGAAAGATTGTATTGCTCAGTGAGCAAAAGAATACGTTGAGTATTGATGTGAACGCTGTTAGACATTTAAATTCAAGAGGAGACTGTCTGTGAGGAGAGATTACATGTATGTCCAAGCAGGGTAGGACACTGTACCCTCTTACTCGCGTATGCTATGAGTGGCCCAGTGCCAGTTCGTTCTGAGGAGATGGTGATAAGCTGCTGTCTTCAACTTTCGGATGTTCTTTGGGTGAAATGGGTGGGGAATGATAGAGGAAGGCAGCTGGTTCCAAATTGGGATGAAAAAAAGAAGTAAATTATCGTGTCCGTTCCCGACGGGAATTCACGACGGCCGCTAACACCCGATAAACCCTAGCGGTAGATGCAGCGCCTAACGGTGGGGGTGAGTGGATAAGTCTCACAACCACTGGCACAAGTGCCGAAAACGACCCCATTAGCTGCATCCATGTACCCCTTGTGCCTGGCCACAAGTTCCCAGTTGACTGTGGGATGACGGAGTGCTGAAAGGCTCGGCTCACATTGTTCCGGGAATTGACAGGAAGAACATTCTGTAACTGATGGGGATGCGCGGTGGATAGTCGTACAGCCTGGCGGGTGAGGCGTGTGGTCTTGGGCTGGTGTGTCGGGGGTGGAGCCATTCTCGAGAGAAGAGAGGGAGAAGTATCGCAAAGGGCTTTATAAAGGAGGCAAAGGGCAGCGATGGTGCGGCGAATTATGAGGCTAGGAAGCCAGCATTGCGGGAGTATTGCCTTGATGGCTCGCTCCTGCACCCAGTCCAGCCGATTCAAGTGGGAAGGAGCTGCCCCCATCCAGACGACTGGGCAGTACTCCATAACAGGCCGGACAAAGGCTTTGTAGGCTCGAAGTCGGGCAGGAATAACCAGCAAGTGAAATGCCTTGTGCAAGGCTACAAGTCTCTGCGTTGCTCGGACTACAACAGTTCGTATATGCTGGCTGAATTTTAGCTGATGGTCAAACGTGACGCCGAGTACTTTGATGGAGGGCTGCTCCTCGACAGGAGTTCCATTGAAGACAATGGGGGAGGGGGGGGGGGGTATTGGCCAGTCCCGACGATGGTGGGAAATTGTAAGGGCCTGAGATTTGGCTGGCTCGAACTGCACTTTCCAATCCGAGCCCCAACTGGATACTAGGTCAACAGCAGCCTGGAGTACTCTAGCGTTGTCAGGAACAGCAGCGAGAGTTGCAATTTCGGCGTATAGGGTTGTGTCGTCGGCGAATGAGGCAGGGTTGGAGCCGATTGGGAGGTGGTCTTCAAGGTCGTTGACGTAGACCAAGAATAAGGTGGGGCCCAGGATACTGCCCTGTGGCACTCCAGCGTTAGCTGGGCGTCTGGCGGATGTCTGGCCGGAGATGAGGACTTGAAGTGTGCAGTTGCAGAGGTAGTCTTGGAACCACCGATGTAGGTCTCCAGAGATGCCATACACTCTAGCCTTGTGCAATACACCAGTGTGAGACACCCGGTCAAATGCTCCAGCAATGTCGATGGCCAGCACTCGAGAAGCTCCTTGATCTCCTGCGGTGTGCACCCACTGGTGGTGGAGAGCAGTCAGCAGGTCTGCTGCACTGTAGCCGGGACGGAAGCCAAATTGCCGTTCTGACAGGACGTGATTCGTCTCCATGAAGTTGCTCATTGCCCTGTCGACTATGGTCTCCATGACCTTGGAGAGGATGCTCAGTAACGACACTGGTCGATAGTTTGATGGCGACGATTTTGACTTGCGCTTGTGGACTGGAACTACGTTTGCAACTTTCCACTGTTGTGGCTGGATGCCGGAGTGAAGACAGCATGTAAATAGCTTTGAAAGCGGCCGTGCCAATTCTGCAGAGCAAGCTTTCAAGACGCGGGCAGGTATCCCATCTGGACCAGTGGCCTTGGTGGGGTTGAGCTGGCGGAGAGTTCGCTCGACTGTGGTCTCGCGAAACCGGACGGTGCAGAGGTTGCGGTCAGTACGTGGTCGGACGTGAGGAAATTGGTCGGACAGGTCATCTGCCCCTAGACTGCATTTGTTGGCGAAATGTTTGGCCATGCACTCTACTTTGCTGCGGTTGGTGTCATGCTCCGTACCATCGGTACTGCGGAGAGTAGGTATGGATGGGCTGTTTCCGTGGCCAGAGGCCTTCTTGATGGTTCGCTACCATTCACCAGACGCCATACACCCAGAGGCTAACTTCTGCGCCAGGCTTGCTGTGTATGTCTGCTTGGCAGTTGCCAGGCAATGGTTAGCTGAGTGCTTGGCGAAATTGTAACGGGCTTGCAGCTGGGCACTTGACCGGTCGGCGCGGAGTCTCCTCCATGCTCTTTGTTTCTGTCCCACAGCCTCAGTGCATACCGGTGTCCACCAAGAGGGGTTAGATGGTTTCATGCACAACTGCTTAGACGGTGTGTATCGGCGCATTCCTTCCAGAATATTCTTGGTTAAGTGCATACACATTGCATCAGGATCATCACTGACAGTGGTCTGCGAGTCTGTTGTTCTAAAGAAGTGGCGGAGTCTGTCCCAGTCTGCGCGTTGGTAACGCCAGACAGTTCTGGTCACTGGCGGCTCCTCTGCCGTGCTTATATGAAAGTCAGCTAGGTCCCTAGGACACCGGCATTGTCAGAGTTTCCAAGAGGTGCTAAGGTATTGACTGTCGCATCTGCCGGTAGGTCAGTCATTATTTTAAAAGTCGAAGGCCCCTGGTGGGCTCATGCACGTGCTGCTCCAAGCAGTGAAACGCACACATGTCTTCAGTGTACACACCTGCATGAGTTGTCTTGGTGCTGCCGAGCCAATCCACGTTGTGTACGTTAAAATCTCCAGCCAATACCACATACTCACAAGATTTACGGGCCAGGTCTATTCCAGCACTGATGGCTTCGATGGTACTGATCTCATTGTCGTGGCAGGAACCAGAGCGATATGCAGCACACACAGCCACTGACTTCTTATCCACAGTTCTGACACTCAGCCATATTAGCTCCTCATTCCCGACCTGGATGTCATTGAGTTCCCGGAGGACCAGACTGGCTTTAACCCAAACCTCAACTCCTCTTCCATGAGCTTTTCTATCCTTCCGCAGTGGGGAGTAGCAGCCAGGCAAGGACAGTTCGGAATTATCAGCTTTCTCAAGGGTTAGCTTGCTCTCTGTGACAATGGCAATGTCAGGTTGGTGAACGTGCACAGTATGGTGAAAGTCACCAAGTTTACTCAGTAGTCCAAATGTGTTCGTCAGCAGGATCCGAAAGGATCTAATTGGAGCTTTGTGCTTGAGTGTCGGAGGACTCGGAGAGAGCGTCACTGTGAGATCCGGACAAGGTGTCCCCTTTCGGACGCTCAAGGTGGCGCCAAAGCCGCGCGTGCAGTGGGTGAGGCCAAAAGTTTGGAGCAGTGGCAATTTCAAGATCAGTCGCATTGATCATCAAGCGGGCAGACACTTTCCCATCTTCTGTGGTGTGTATGCTGCACCCTAACTAGTCTAAACCAGCAAACCCTTAGATTACCTCCAAACGACGACGAAGGAGAGCGAGTCCCAGTGCGGAATCCTCGCCATGATTTCAAAAATTCCAAAAACAAAAAGAGAGCAACAACATCGACCCTGCATGCCTACTCGCGGCCAATCCCATACCACCACGGCCCCAGCACAGGTAGTAGGTACAGGGCTCACGCTTCAGCCCACTGGTCACAGGATACTCAATCCTAGCCTACAGTCACCTGGTAACGTTGTTCTCCATACAATGATATCAGTGAGAACAATAGGGAGTTTTAGCAACTCATAAACGAGAACGAAACGAGTGAGACCCATTCGATATGCATGATGCACGTCACTAATTCCCATAGTCGATATGCGCTAACACTTTTTTTCCACTGCAACTGTGCGCTAAAATGCATACCAACAGGAGTTCGGCTCCTGTCCAGGACTACAGCGTGTTGGAGAGGAAATCGAAACAGTTTGGCGCAATCGTCGTGGCTAAGCTTGCCTAACCCAAGCCGAGGAAATGTCACAAATCATGCCGCTCACCACGATCAATTCTTCCAGTGCAAAGTAAAGCAAGACTATTTCGTCCTCATCAATGATCTTCTCGCCGTATGCCAGAAGATGGACAAGAGCATCGAAATCATCCACCAGCAAAAGAAAGCAACAACAAGGATTTGAACTTCAAGTTGAAGCTTCCTTCTTCTCAAATCATGCTCGGCTTTTTGAATAAAATCTCCACGCCCGCGCGCGCTGCGCTGAGCGCTGGTCGGTGAACTAAATCAAGAGAAAGGACCCGTATGCCATGTCCTCTCCGCTCGTCAACTGTCAACAGTTTTTTTGTCATCACCATGACACTGTCGAGAAGGACGCCATGGGCAGAAGTTGGAAGAAAAAGAAAAAGAAGTCTTTATACAAGTTAAAGAAAAGAGCGAAGAAAACAAGACGACATCAGGAGTAGTCTCCTAACCCCCTAGCATAATGAGGGTCAGAACCGGGTGCAATATCTATATGGTTCAAATGGTCCGCAGGGACCGGGGCTCTGCCAACCGTGGAAGGTTGTAGTAAGGTCACTGTTTCCGAACACAGTGTCCTCCACCTTGTTTCATGCTGTCAATCTAACAATTGTGTATACATGTGCATGTATGTGTGTGCGTGTGTGTGGGTGGTGTGTGTGTGTGTGTGTGTGTGTGTGTATGTGTGTGTGCGTGTGTGTGTGTGTAATTAATCAGCCTTGCAAGCTGTTGAATGGTGTAATCCCAGCACAAGTTGCTATGTCTACGTAGCTGTTCGCTATCATCGCTTCCGCCATGGCATGGGCATGTCTGAGGTCTGAGGTGTGTGGTGTATGTGTGTGTGTGTGCGTGTTTCTTGTATGTATGTACATGTATGTATGTACCGGAGGGTGTAGAGTCTACCCAGTGTGCTGACAGTGCTCAACACCGCGGAGGCAGAGCGTAATACAGAACAGAACAACTAGTACAATCAAGGCTTGTTTGCTGCGACTTGAAGTTTCATGCTCTCGCAATCATCAGGCAACAACTCTTGCCTGATGATTGCGGGAGCATGAAACTTCAAGTCGTTCAAATACTTGAGCTTCGTGAACTAATACCCAGACTCAAGAGGTAAGTACATGTAGTAGACATTGCAGGTATTGGTGTGTCTGCCTTTCGTCGCCACTCGCCAGGAGCTAGTTGACCTACTCACTCCGCCAGGGTCTGCCTTAGCTTCCGACCTTCCTTTGAATACGTATAGCTGATGGCAGGACTCCAGCAAATCCCTTCGCTTAGCTAGGTAGGCGAAGGTCTCTTTCTCCTCCGCCATAGGCAGATGCATACATGCCCTACAGTACAATCATGTAATCACCTTGTCATCTCATCCACCACCACAACCCTGGGTCACGCCTGGCCTCCAAAGTTTATATCAGCGGAAAGCGTACTTACACAGACGGTGGCTCCGGGATCGCGACAGTGACAGTGCTCGCCAATGTTTCCGAGCTGCCCGACGAGAGTGTCAAATTCTACAGCGCAGAATGCAAACTGAGTACTTCACCAACAGATTTTTCTTGAGTCGGTTCAGCCCTCGAGCTCAGTGGCAGGTACTGAACCACCTCTTAGGTCGGAAGCAACAACCGACGACTCTACCTGTAGACGTTCCGGCCCTAAGTGCAGTATTTGCGGCTCAAGTTAGCGATCCTACACTGAACACTGGGTCACAGTTACCCCTAGGCCCCAGCAAAGCAACTGGATTCACTACATTTCGGCCAGTGTCCCCGACTGACGTGGAACGACGGTTATGCAAGCAATGGAAAGCCACCGGCTCTGACGACATTCCTGCTTCACTTCTGCGTGCGTCCTCCAAGTATCTTGCTGCATCCTTGGCGGAAATCTATAACAACTCCCTTGCCACTGGCGTATTCCCCGAACAATACAAGCTTGCCCAAATCTGTCCAGTCTTCAAGAAAGGTGATAAATACGCTCCCACAAACTATAGACCAATCTCCCTTCTTCCCATCGTTTCCAAAGTCCTAGAAAGAATCGTCTACGACCAGTTCCGGCAGTTCATGGTCTCTGCAGGTGATGTTATACCTGACGAACAGTTCGCCTATCGCTCCTGTCATTCATGCGGTGACGCACTGGCGCTATGCATTGACAGTTGGCAACGGTCCCTGGACTCTGGCAACGTGGTTGCTGTAGCATTCCTCGACCTCAGCAAAGCCTTTGACTGTGTCCTGCATGGCGAGCTCCTTCTGGAGCTGCAGCGCTGTGGAGTAGGAGGCACTGTTCTGCAATGGTTCTCCAGCTATCTGTCCAGCCGACCACAGCAAGTGAAATGCCTCCGTCAACCACCTGGAACCCCATACACGGCCAATCGCGGTGTCCCTCAGGGCTCTGTCCTGGGACCGGCACTGTTCACGGTGTACACCAGGCGCCTACCAGCCTGCCTACAGTCATCCCTCTGCCTCCTGTATGCAGATGACACCAACATCTACGCTGCCGACCCGTCCCCTTCCACTGCCACACAGACCTTGGAACATGATCTGACCCGTGTGAGCAGCTTTCTGGAGGCCCATGGACTACAGCTGAACCCATCCAAGACGCAATTCCTGCTGCTACGGAAACCCAATGTACATGCAGACTGTGCCCTACAGTTTTGCAACAGCCGTATACAGCAATCGCAGCAAGCCAAGTACCTGGGCATCATCATAGATGAGCATCTGTCGTTTCAACAGCAAGTAAGTAACATTAGAAGTAAAGTTAATGCCAAGGTCAATGCATTTCGCCGTTGTCGCCACCTTCTCAGTGCTAGAACCAAGCGAACTTTCTATCTTGCATTTGTCCAATCTACCCTGGAGTACGCGAGCAATGCGTACGTGCACTGCCTGCGACAGACCACCTATAACGCTCTTATTAGCATCGCGAATCGGGCGATCCGCACTGTCTTTGGCTTCCCTCCCTCTGCCTCCATCCAACCCATCTTAGCTAGACAGCACCTAACACCACTAAATATTCGCTATGCTGCCAACCTCTATGTGTTTCTACATAGATGCATAAATGCTCGTGCTAGTCCCCTACTTTGCCGACTTTTCACTCCTCGTGCTGTCTCATCATCCCGCACTGCTAGAATTACCCGTTCTCAGGAATTGCTCGGCCTGGTACTGCCCCATGCCAGATTGTATTTTGGCTATCACTCTGTATCTTATCTTGGAGCTGACCGATGGAACGCCCTCCCTGCCGCGATTCGCACCATATCCCTACCTGCTGCATTTCGCTCCGCTATCTTCACGTGGCTAGGGCACCCTGTAAGAAGACCATAGGTCTGTGGGGACTGCCCTAGTAAAATATGAATAAATAATAATAATAATAATGTACATGTACATACAAACTACATACAAAGCGATGCACTTGTCTAGCATGCGCATCACCTTCAATGGCCAAGGCCCTCACTGTGACTCAGACAAACCATTCGGAATTCTTCTACCCGTAAGTGCATCCTGAGACAGCTACACAGGCTAGTCAGTAGAGTAATGGTGCTTTCTTGAACAGTATCATGCCCAGTGCAGCCCCTACTCAATGGCTGTTTTGTTTTTGTCTACATAATTATTAATTTTACGAGTTGGGTTTGTGAATAATAGTAAATAAAATAATAAATCATTTGTTTGCCGCCTTCCCCCAAGCAATCGATATGACTACAAGAACTTCCATGGTACATGTAGCTACAGTGTACTTCCTCTTACCTGTGATGTAGGTCGCTGAACTCTTGCCTCGACTGCCTCGAATAGTAATTTTCCAATTATTGGTTTCAGTCCCAAGTCACTACCATGTAGTTGGTTAGACAGATGAAAACAACGTTAAAGGCTTGGTCGCCAGAGCTTCTCAATCTCGCAGCTGTATAATCACACTGGACTAGAAGCTGATTTTATCCAATGCTGTAGACAGGAAGCTGTTTCGCCAAAAAGCCGAATCTATACAGCTACGGGCATTATACCGAGCTAACAGCAATGATGCGACTGAGCCCCTCTGAAGCACAACCATCAAGTTAACTCGATATGTTAGCGCCGGTGCTCAAACTACGAAAAGTTACGGTTCATGCTAATCATAGTACTTTAGTAGAAAAGCCGAATCGTGAGTGGGCGGGTTTTGGTGCACGTGAGAAAAGTAAGAAAGAAGGAAAAAACCAAAACTAGATTGGATGGAGTAAGTAGTAGGAGAATTCAAGCGGGCGGCATGCACACAAAGCCTGATAAGTCAAAGGCGGAAGAGTGATGGGGGGGGGGGGTAGTAGCGTGGGATCTAATAAATAATTCGACAGTAGATATAAATAGATGGATATGGCATACCCGTGTTAGTGGTGAAACAAAATGGCCGAAACGAGGAACGTGTGATTCACGCGGAACGTTTCAGCGACGACTCTGAGTCTGAGGCGACATGGATACAGTCAGTATCGCCTATAGCGTTGGTGTTTGATTTTTGAGCATTTTATCACTATAAGCGATATAATTATTACTATGACCGATACTGCATGCAATGTATGCGAGTGGGGTGTCAAATGACTCAGCGCGCCGTGCACATACGCACTACATACATGTACAATGTCATGTAGCTGGCTGTAGCTCCTGACACACAAAATCAGGATTTCCTCATGATGGAGGCATATTTTGGCAATTTGTACAAGCAAAACTCACCAAACAACACTCACTGGACAAGTTCTTCACGAAGAAGTAACACCCTGTTCTCCTATGACATCGCTTGATTTTACATCAATCACTATAACCGATGCAAACATAGTGTAATAAGCGTCTTTTGAAGTCAGAATTTGATCACTATAGGCGAGATGCATGTATTACTATAGACGATTATTACTATACGCGATAACTGTGTAAACTTAGTTATGGCAAATGAAAATGAATTTGAGAAATTGATCACTATATCCGGTATATTACTATAGCCGCCAACCTTATAGTCGATACGTACTGTACTTTAGAGCGGGTAATTTTAGCGACTATTAATTTTAGTGTTTTCCCATTGTCAACCGGTTAGCGACGTTTTATTCCCGTAGCTATGCAGAAGCCGTTACTTCAGTAACGTCTGGCGCTAGCCAGGGTCCACACAGCTTTAATTTGGTGTTTGTTTGTTTGTGTCACGCCTGGCGCTATCCCGTATCTGTCCCGTACCGTACCATCAAACACAGCTAGCTGGCCACATGCAGCTGGCCGGAATATTCAAATAGGGCTTTCAAACGCAAGATCATAACGTGAAGCAACTTGGAAGAATGAGTATGAATGCGAAGTGTATGAAGGAATGCATGTAGGGCGATAGTGCGGGTTCGAATCCCAGGTTATGCCTGAAAAAAAGGAGAATTGAAAAATTTATAACATCCCTGTGCTTTTTTTGCCTATGTCATCAATGCGGTAGACGGTGTCGTATTACCTCGACCGTACCTGTCCCGCACCGTACCGGACCATCAAAGACGGCTGGCCACAATGCATATTCAAATAGGGCTTTCAAATGAAAGATCATAACGTGAAGCAACTTGGAAGAATTAGTATGTATGTATGCGAAGTGTATCGGGGGATGCATGCAGGGCGATAGTGCGGGTTCGAATCCCAGGTTATGTCTTAAAAAAAGTAGAAATTTATAAGAATTTATAACATCCCTATGCTTTTTTTGGTCTACATGTAGGTCATCAAGGCAAAAAAGCATGGCGTAGGGCCCTGAGCTTCCAAGCTCTCTCGGTTTAGCGATTTGCAGCGATTTTACTCACGGATCACCAGTGCACTACTAATGTCTCAACCGCGATATATCGAAATTGTAAATTCATACCGAGTGCTACATCAGTTGAAAGAGCATGAATAGCTGCAAAATCTCTGAAGATTTTGTCTCCTGATATTTGTCTCATGATCCAAGATTTGTTTGCTTTGGGTGTATCTTAGACTGGATTGCGTTGGTGTGCGAGCTACTTCACGGATCGTCGACAGAGCTAGAGAGTAGTTCTGGCGAGTGGGCAGTGCTCGGGCCTAACTGCATGCGAGTGTTGAGTCCCCCAGGGTAATGTGCTCGGTACTTTGCTGTTTTCACTATAATTATACCATGGACGTCCATAGCGTCACCAGCCCAGCACACTCCCAGCTGTTTGCGGGTGACATCCTTCTCGACACCGCAAGCAGATCCGTAGCAACCCTAAATCAAGTCTTGTCAGTTGCTGTGTCAAACTTGGCTGACTACCTACACGGGAAAGGCCTGGTTTTAAACCCCGACAAGACGCAGGTCTTAACCATTGAGACATCACGCCGTAGTACCCTGGAACTCAACGTTAACTGCAACGGGACGCCTCTCACCCAGACCACCACTGCTCGCTTTCTGGGCCTACAGACCGATTCCTGTCGTCGGAGGCACGCGCAGGTCTTCAGCATAGTACATAAAACTTCCCAGAAGCTAACCACCCTGAGAACCATCCGCCCGTCGTTATCTGAACGCCAGTCGCTCCTCTTCTATTCTGCCATTACACTTCCTGACATGCTTTACGGATCAAATGCGTTCTTTCCTGCACTCACGGCTCAGCAGCGGCACCAGCTCACTGTCCTCGACAAGCGATGTGTTCGCTGTGCACCCAATCAAGCTGGCAAGAATCTACCTGCTACTTCGCGCGAAAAAGATGCAAGGATGTATTACTTGGAAAGGTATGACCCTCACGCAACCACATCATAACATGACTTGAAGTGGGGAGAGAATGTGCATTATGCACATGTAGTACGATAATATATCATTAGCAGAAGACGCTATCTCTCTCTGCAGCATTGGGCACACGCATACAAGTTGATATACTTTTGAAAAAGAACATTCAAAACCGGAGAGTACACAATCATAATGGTTGAACAGTATCAAATATATTGTTACATGCGGTTGTATTCCACTCAATGTGGTTGTTTACAAAATAATCGAAACTTGTTGTTGGTTGACAGCATGAAACAAGGTGGAGGACACCTTTCCACAACTATCCACGGTTGGTAGAGCCCCGATCGGTTGCGACCACCTGAAACGTATGGGTGTTAGACCGGTTTATGACCCTCTCTATTCTAGGGGAGTTGTCTTAGATTTCTACAAAACTGATGGTACGAGAAGTTTAACCCTTTGAGACCCCACTCAAAGTACGACAATTTACGCACCTTCAAATAACATGCACTTTCGCTCGTATCTCTATGAAACATTCACCGATTTGTACAAACTAACCACCGTTGGAAAGTTATTTCCAAGACGAAGAGACTAGTACTACACTCAAGCCAACTACCTGCACAGCCTCTGCTTTGTGTGGCCTGTAATGCCGCCCAAAACAGCAGCCGTGCGCGAACAGCTTCAACAAAGTTCAAACAGCCGCCATTCCATTCTCCTTCATCACATCGACTTCAAACAAACTACAGCGGAAAGCTCGTTTCAAGCGCAAATTTTGGTGTGCGGTGCTTGAGTATGACGTACCATTCCGGGGAAATCTCCTGCCAAGTGCAGCGTGAAAATTTGAATTTTTCGATCTGAGTGCATTTTCCAGTTTGTCTCCGACTTCGAGTCTCACCGCGGCGGCATCGTAACTCCTAGAGACTTCGGATAACTTTGACGTGATAGCCAAGGGTCTTTTCGAAACGCAGATACTTTGTTTACGAAAATCGGTGAAGGAACACCAGAGATATAAATATTTTAGTGTCACTGTATACCAAACGATCGAATTCGATCGTTGGGGTCTCAAACCAACAACATATTTGAACAAACAAGGCTTATCTAATACCAAATCGAAACTTGCAGCGTGCTGTAGATACAGGTATTCACACCAAGACAGTGGTTTTTAGGGTTCATTGATAGCTGTAACAGTGTGAGGGGCAGTGAGGACACTGGAATACTTCGTATTCGAAATACGTATCACGTGATGTGCACATGGGCTCTCCTATCCGGGGGGGGGGGGGGGGGTAACCGTATGGTATGCTCTGCCACTGGCGCTAGGAATAGGTGTCCTTGGAGACTCTGAAGGATGAACCAGACCAACATGCTCCTTGTAAAGTTGTGGTGGTGATTGCCTTCTCAAACTAATCCGGACATGAAAACACCACGATTCGCAGAGCTCGTCGAGAATGTACTCAGTCGTGATCGTGAGCGATCTGGTTCAGTGGTCCCAGTAGCCATCCTCTTTGAGTCGATACACTGTGCTAATTGGCCCGTAATGCTGAATTACTGGGCGGACATCATTGTGTTGGAAATCCACTATGGCCTCCAAGAATGGTAAGAGTGGCTCGAGTGTATTGTCATCTGGCGCTCCTGACCACTCATTGACGTAGATGACATTTGGCCAGTTGTAGGCAGCGTTCCGCTGATTGTCTTCCAGGAAGATCGTCTTGCTCATGTCTCTTCCCACTTTGGCTAGACATTTGATTTTGTAGCCACCTTTCAGGAGACAATGATCTCTGTGCAGTATCGACTTGAGGTTGAAAACAGGCTCGTCTTGTTGTAGGTTCAGATGAGTTAGGATTCCCTCTGCATAGCTTTGAGCTGCAGCTGTGTACACAATGAGTTCGTACTTGCGCGCCACGCGCTTCAGGAACTCCTTTAGAAACGGTCGGTCATACACATAGAGACATTTGCCAGCTCTGTCCTTTAACCTCCCCACGTCATCGCGATCTTGGCCGCAACGAGACGTGTAGGTCATCGTGCCGTCAATGTCCAAGACTAGCGTGTACTGTGGCGCTCTAGCTGTCCGTGGCGGTAAGACGGCAGGCTGTCGATGCAACCAGCCAGGGAACGGAGGACCTGGGACACTGTAGACATTGCTGTAGGTCTCTCTTTCCCATGCCTCTGCTCCGTAACTAGCTCTTGGATCGGTGATCGTGGACTTCTGCATGGCCATGCAGAACAGACGACAGAGTACCCCAGGAACTGTGCACGTGTTCCAGCAATATGCCGCTAATCCAAGCGTGATACGGCGCTTTGTGACGCATCTGAGCAGTGTGTATACAACCTCCGACAAACGATGATGGCCTAGCCAAAGCACAAAACAAAACAACACCGAGAAACACAATGTCATGCACAGGCGAACTATGTTGAGAAAACCCTTTACGGCCCTGGGGAGTCGCGTAAGCCCCAGGTTAGCCGAGTAAGACCCATGTTAGTCGCGTAAGCCCCATGTTAGTCGCGTAAGCCCCAGGTTAGTTTCATCGAAAATGTAAGAATAGCCTCTCGTTGCGCGAGGAGCCGCCAAGAGCGAACTTGAGCCATCCTACCACACAGCTCGGGGGACAAGTACAGTGCAATGCCTATGTATCAAGAATCTCCGGTCAAAGGCGACACTTTGCGGAAGGAACGCAGCACCTGAACTGACAACGGCCAATACTGCAATAGCAACATGCACAACGGCAGGGATAATTAGACTAATTTATAGTCTTCAATCCAACGTGTATTCCCTCAAATGATGAAATTATTACTTTCAAGTTGACTTGGAAATTGAAGTTCGCTATGCGAAGAGAAGGTCAACCTACCCCCCCCCCCCCCCCCCCTCTCCTCTTCTACCGATGTAGTCAAGGCAAGAGCTACTTAGTTTCGATCTCAATGTAATACTGTGCTAGTAATAGTTTTCGTTGCCGTCTGGTAAAAAAATATGGCAACAATTCTGTAACACGTGAATTCAAGCCCTGGGTGCTGGGGAATGCAGTATCACATCACGTACATCATACATGTACAATGTACGTGCGAGTCACGTACCCCTAGGCCTAGTGTAGGTAGAATGTCTCGACTATTCTAGACATGTTGCCTGATGATTGCGAGAGCATGAAACGTCAAGTCGCAGAAAACGCAAAAAAGCCTTGATTGTCCTTGGTGTTCTGTTCTGACACTTGGTGTTCAATTCTGAGGACTTACCTCAGGCTCAGGTAAGAGTCGTACTCCTCCGCCACTGGAGCAAGTTTGATGTTCTGCACCAAACTATTCCGTACAAGGCAGTAAGTACACTGCAGTGATATTGAAATCAATCTCGATTCTTCTCGGCTGAGGTGCTTGGTGTAAGGAGTTAGTAAGCATCATCTTACAACACTGCGGGGCTAGCATGAAATGGTGGCGTGGCTAACAAGGAACTCGCTAACTCACGTTACTTGCTGTCTTGGCGAAACGAATCTATTTAACTTTAAATGATCTTTTTGGCGCCAGAACTACCCTTGGCCCCAAAACGGTTCATTCAAAACGCGATAAAACTAGTAGAACTGAGAAGAGCCTGGCATCTTAGCATTTTGCTCGGGAATAAACCAAAAGACTGGCAGTGGTACACGGTGTCAGAGAGGCGCCTGATATGCCTAGCAGGACGCATTATTATTGTATGCATGATTCGTGTACATGTAGGTTGCTGCAGTACATGTACATGGCGTCAGGGATAGCGGTGATATCGACCAATCAAGGAAGACAGTCATGTACAATGTACAATCCTCATGACTGTAGTGATGTACATGTACGTGAGATAGGCATACCCAGGACACTTGGCTGGAGAATTGCGTAGGAGACTAGTCATCCGTACAGACACTGACTCCGCGCTAGCGCTCGACTGTTCTCTGCTCCTACAATTACTCGACTACAGTACATGATTGTACTCGTACGAGTAATCTGCATGCGAGTCCCTGTACTTCAGTAATCGTACCGCGGTACCGTGCAAGTTCACGAACAGTCAGTATCGCCTATAAATAGAACGCGTTGGTGTTTGATTTTGGGCATATCTATTATTATCGAGCGATTATTACTACAGTATGACCGATACTGCATGACATTGTAGTGCATCATAGTGCATGCGAGTGGGGTATCAAAATACTCACCGCGCAGTACACATACACACTGCATAGTTGTTTGCAGCGTACGTCCTGTGTACATGTAGATGATTGATTGATTGAATTTATTAATTTTGGATTCGGGAGACCAAACGAGCAGGAGTGCTCAATAACACTTAACAGTACTTCAGGGCAGCGAATGGTTGAGTTGTGCTATGTCAGTATGTGTGACAATGTAGTGTGTGCGTGGGGGATCTACTCGTACTGTGAGAAACGCGCCCTGTCATGCCCGTGCAACCAACGCTCCTGACTCACAATATCAGCAATGTCAGCATACCTTCACAATGGAGGCATTTTGGACAACTACAAGTAGACCTCACGAAACAACACTGGGCAAATGTTTCACAAAGCAGTAACTACCGGTAGGTTACTTCCTGCTCGCCTCTGACACCACTTGATTTCACTTGATGCAATGATGCAGTAGAGGCCTTTTGAAAGTTGAATTTGATCACTGTAGGCGATATATCGCTATACTATGGACGATTATCACTACAGTAAGATCGGGCGCCGAAGAACGCAGGGGCTCGAGCGCAGCCTAGAAAAGTTCTTAAATTTTTGATTCTAGCCAGACCGTTCTTATTCCCACGCGCGCGGCGAGTCGAGTGACGTCATGACGTTTGTCATGTACATGTACATGTACATGTATGTAGTGCAATGTAGTACTTCTAAACTAGTGGGTGTCGTAAATAGGAATGACTGTACATGAAACAGTTACTGTTTACACGTGTACATGACATGTACTCACCTCCCATACATGTACAATGTATACAATTTTAAAAGTGTTCTTAAATCTGATAATTCTAGCCTGGACTGTTCTTAAATTTTGCCGGTTTTCCAGCCTGGGTGTTCTTCGGCGAGGTGTTCTTCGGCGCCCGATCTTACTGTATACGCGGTAACTGTGTATACATACTGAGAAGATGTTTGGAGGCTTCCTACAGTTTCATAGTAGATACAATTGGGTGAACTCACCCATTCCACAATACTCTGCAAATTTCCGAGCCATTCCATCATATACAACGTTTCGGCCAATGGCCTTCTTCAGCCTTGCGCTTGACTCGTACTGTGCTACGGTCTAACGCAACATCATCATTGACATCAATGCAGGCCAGCTTTACACCTGGCTTTTTTGGATTTTTTTCCGCCTTCCCGTCAGCAGAATAGATCGCGCACTTCGGGCGCAACAGGCACATATTTAAACCGCCCGTTTGCAGCCTTAATTAAGGACATCATTGACTACCTGAAGAAGGCCATTGGCCGAAACGTTGTATATAATGGAATGGTTCGGAAATTTGCATCAGAGCTTGGTGGAATGGGTGAGTTCACCCAATTGTCTCTACTGTGTATACCCAAATTGTAGTTATGGCAAATGAAAATGAATTTGAGAAGTAACGTTAGTTGATCACTACAGTCGCTTTATTACGATAGCTGCCAACCTTATACGTGTCTATCCAATAAGGAGATGCGTACTTCACATGCTATATGCAAGGCCACTAGTCGATGCCAGACCCTGTCTAGCACAACATTTTGAATTGAAGGCTTTCCTAGACGGTAGGCTGTCGCTGAGGCGTAGTTCGAACTCCTGTAGTCTAGTCAGTAACTGTTATAGCACTTACACTCGTCTAGACTGAGTCTAGCCTCCTGGCATTAGTGTGACGGCGGCAGCCTACTGTCTAGGGAAAGCCTTCATATCAAAATGTTGTGCTAGACAGGGTGTGGCATCGACCGGTGGCCTTGCGCATAGCATGTGCAGTACGTCATATCGCCCGAAGGCCACGGAGAGCAAAGAGCCACAAGTACAATAACGCTCTGCTGGCAACGGACTTAAGGGGGGCCTAGCGCCTACGTATCGACTATCACGGATGTGCGACGAATGGCGCACGTATCATCATCATTGAGGTAGGTACTTTGATAATAATAATCAGTCTTTAGCTGCACGCGTTCTGGTTTTTGCGTGTGCAGTGTTTGCGTTACAATGATGGCTGCGTCCCACCCGACAGCTGTGTGGACTCACAGAAAGCGTGAGAGTTGTATTCATTTATTATTTCAAGCACTCCCCAAAAGCTGGTTGCCAAGAGAAGGTTACCCCCTCTTACCGAGGTCGCCAAGCCAGTAGAGAGTCACTTACAATTATGTAGTTATTTCCCTCAAACCATTATTAATCGTTATTTCAGGGTTACCCGAAGGCTACCGCTTACCGGGAGAGGAGGGGGGGGGGGGGATCGTTGTGTATGATCGAGTGTGTATACTAGGAATGGATTACTTCAAATAATAATGTGCTACTGCTAGGAATGCATCACGTTGTATTTTCACATGTTCTTGGAAAGGAATGTACAATGTACAATGTACGATGTACGTACACGTATGTCCTATTTCAAGTATTTGACACTGTCTTTATCTGTGTCCTATGTTGTGTTGTTGTATTGTACTTGTACGTACGTGTACTAGGAATGTATAATGTTATGTATCTACTATCTATTGTAATGTATACTCTGTACGTACTACTATTACATGTACTAAGACTAAGTACTAGGTCTTGGACTGTAGTACTAGTAGTAGAAATGTATCGCCGGCGGTTCCGTTACTCTTTGTACTGTGCTTTTCTTTGCTATGTGTTGCACGTAGCGGTAGATCGGCTATTCGAATGATTCATGGCGATGATTCATCTCACCCACTGACGTCGTGACGGGCACTGTGTATGCAGCGTGAGTAACACTAACAGTAACACTAACAGGTGCTAGTACAGCGCTGTGCAAAATAATTACAAGGCCCACAAGTAATAGTTACAATTAAAGTAATACTAATAGTTACTTCGTCGAAGCATCTACATCTACTAGAAAGATGATGTAATGGATGATGTAATGGATGATGTAACCTCTAGAAGTACCTTGACTTGAGTTGTGCTTCAACCTGCAGAGTGCAGAGTGAAACAGTGTAGTAGATACATGTAGTACCCCATGCCCAGATATCGTACCCTGATATACAACGCGCCTAGAATATAGCGTACCCCGGATATAGCACACCAGTCAGGTTTGTCCATTCCCTCAACTTTAGAGTATTCATGATTGGATAGAATTTACTACTGGCAAAAAGAACTGTTGGTCAAGACAGTTAGTGCAGTAATGAAAGAGCAGTTGTGCCATGACCACACTCCATGAACCAGGTACCAGGTGTATCCATTACTAAAATAGAAAAGAAAAAATACATCCAAAATTCAGCATTAATTTTACAATCATCATCGTCATGTACACGTACAGTGTATCTGTGGAGTACTGTACACGTATGTGTGGAGTACTGTACACGTACATTGTATGTGTGGAGTAGTGTACACGTACGTATGTGTGTAGTACTGTACACGTACATTGTATGTGTGGAGTAGTGTACACGTACGTATGTGTGGAGTACTGTACACGTACGTATGTGTGGAGTACTGTACACGTACACGTATGTGTGGAGTACTGTACACGTACGTATGTGTGGAGTACTGTACACGTACGTGTGGAGTACTGTACACGTACATTGTATGTGTGGAGTACTGTACACGTACATGTACACGTACGTACGTATGTGTGGAGTACTGTACACGTACGTGTGGAGTACTGTACACGTACATTGTATGTGTGGAGTACTGTACACGTACACGTACGTACGTATGCGTGGAGTACTGTACACGTACATGTATGTGTGGAGTACTGTACACGTACGTATGTGTGGAGTACTGTATACACGTACGTATGTGTGGAGTACTGTACACGTACGTATGTGTGGAGTACTGTATACACGTACGTATGTGTGGAGTACTGTACACGTACGTATCTGTGGAGTACTGTACACGTACACGTAAAATACTCCTTTGGCATGGTAAACTGTACATTTTTTGTACGAGAACCCACAAGCCTGCATGCACAACACACTACTCCATGATAGAGGGAGGCTGCAGTCGCAGCTCTGGTGCAGTGGTGGTGAAACTGAAGTGTGTGCAATGACCTACAGTCCATTCATTGGAAACTGGCACCCTAACTTCTTGGTGTCTCTCTCACATAGTTGTAGATATTGTGAGAGCAACAGGACACCCTGCATTGTGTGAGCCGTGCAATTACTCCTTGCCACATTTGAGGCCAGAAAAGTCCAAGAACAGGGAAATAGAAATTCAGCCAGGTTTTATAAAAATAGGACAGGTATGCCATGGCAAAATGTATGGTGAAGCAGATCCAAAACCCAGATTTTTGAGATTTAAAGTGGGTTTTTGATCCTCAATTCGGCCCAAATCCGACTTTCAAAAGCCAGCGGGCCAGTTTCCGATGAATGGACTGTAAGGCCAAAGTAAGGGCATCGAAAACACTTCAGGCCCCGGGACACTTCAGAGGATAAAATAGTGGGGAACAGTAGATCAACAGGATGGGGAGGGGCAGAGTATTATAAAGACAGGAAAATGAAACACTGCACCACTCCACACTGTGCTGTCTTGGCCCACATTCAAAAACCCATGCTCTCCATAGCGAGGAAATTCGTTGTTGGATAGATTTTGCATTTCCTCCAGACACTATGTCGCTCAATACGGGCTCCTCAGTGGAGGTAGAAAACTATTAAAAATAATAAAAAGGAATATCAGAAAAAGGAATAATTTTTAGCAACGAAATTGACCAAGGCTACCATGCGCCGGACAGACAGGCTTTGCAGCATTGCGCCGGGGGCATAGTGGTTAGCGAGCATTCACCTGTCCAGTAGCCCTGGATACTCATCCACCTCCGTCCTCGCAATCCGGCTGATTGCTTTTCCATCTGTAAAACCTCAGCTTTCGGTCATTGATGTCGAATAGAGGTGATCCAATTCTTAACTGTGGCCGGACGTCATTGGGGGAGTCCATAACCAGAGTCAGCAACACCTCAGCTAGACTCACTAATTCGGTATCTTCGCTGTCACCTGTCCAGGGGGACACTGCGATAGCATTCTGCCAGTTGTAGGCGACTTGCTTGGGCATGTCGTCAATGAATACTGTCCTTTGCATGTCACGTCCAACTCGAGCAAGACACTTGACAGTGCCGTTAACACAATGATTTCGATCCAGGATATGCAAGATGTTCACTCCTCCTTCGCTGTTGAAGTGAGTCACAATCTGGTCAGCATAACCTCTTGTTGCCGCCGTATACACCACAAGCTCGTAGTGACGGGACATCCGTCTCAGGAATGCTATGCAGAATGGACGGAAATACACGACTTGCTTCTTCTCCGGACCCAGACGTATGCTGACCCCGTAGGGTCTTCCCGGCAACAGGCTTGGCGAGCAGTATACAAGCGTGTTGTCCAAATCCAAGATGAGTGTATAGGGCTTTGAACACCGCTTTGGGGGAAGGAATTTTGGTAGCGTGAACCATTGCTCTGGAATAGGTGCACCTGATACATATTCGATTTCAGGCATTGGACTCTCTTCCTTGGTCTCATATCTACTCCATTTTCGTTTAGGGAGCGATCCAGGCGCACTGTGTTCAGTGGCTTGCATGGGTCTTTCCGGGAGTCGCATTAACATTGAAGAGGGTGTCTTGTGAATCGGTCTCGCTGCCTCACTCGTTGGGGATGGCGTACATTCTGGCAGAACTAGTAAAGATGTGTTCGTACCTTGTGTGGTGGGTGATAATCGCCAGATTTTAGGTTTTCCGGAGCCTTGTAACATGTGATAAGGTGTATGTGTTGGCTTAAGGGAATGAAATGTGGCTTTGCTTCTTGCGATGTAAGATGGGATAGTGTTAGATGATGGCTGGACTACGTAGAACATTTTCTCTCGTTTCATGTCACGGTAGGATGATGGTAGTATTGGTTGGTCATTTAAACTAGACTCTTTCATGTCCGATGCTCGTATGCTGTCAGGGTTTTCCCTATCAGCATACACCAGCCTCTTAGTGCACGGATCAAGCTGAGAGCCGTCCCACCTAGTTGGAAGTGACGAAAGCTGAGACGATAGCTCTTGGTGGTTAGGCGTGGTTGGGCACTGGGTGCTGCTGGGTGCTGGTTCTTCATGTGATGATCGTGAAGCCATTAGTGCTGCCTCTCCTCCCAGTTGTCCCCCATATCTGGGAGAACGTTTTTGTTGAAGTGATGCAGTAGAATGTGTTCCCCTAGTTGAAGATGTCCCTGGTGCGTCTCTCACTGCACTTATTGCTGAACAGGAGTGTAGAGTAAGGCCACACGTCCGTGATGGTGCGTTCGCTCCTCCACTGGGGGATATTCGACGTTGCCATGGTATACGCTGCCGTGTTCGAGTGGTGTCTGATTCTGCAGTGTACTTGGCTCCATCTGCTTCCACAACACCTTGGCCATGGCATGGTGATATGGCGTGTTCTTCAGGAAGACTGTTTGCAATATCTTCTGCTTGTCTTGTGCTTCTCACAGTTCCCTTCCTGAAGCAAAACATGGTAAGTCATTGGGCACATGTTGCTAAAATCTCTGCTCAATTATTGGTTTCATGTATTTGCATGACATGCTGCTGGTTTGTCTCCTCCTTTGCCTTTTATTTGTATTCTGTTACATGTATCTGTTTTACTGCTGTGGTTGGCTTTCACCCTTGTCTCAGTTTTACTGGCCGTCATCATGATGTGCCATGAGATAATGACATAGATACAAATACAAATGCATAAAGCGGGTAGTACTAGTACTGCAGAGTACAGCGCTGGCAACTGAAATCCGACCCCCTTGCCGGCGCGGCGCGCCGGCAAGGGGGTCGGATTTCAGTTGCCAGCACTGGACTGGTAAATACTAGTGGTGGTCGCTCAGCAGAGGGTCTCATTGCACCTGTCCTAGGCGTTGAGACCTGCATACAGGTTAGACAAGGGTTGAGCAGACAAACGAAGCAGGAAAGAAGAACACTGCCATACGTATTATAGAAGATTGGGAGAACTTCAAATTCAAAGGATCAATCGGAGAAATGAACGACCTGAAAAGAGAAAAAAATTGCCAGACCCACAAGGACTAGAACCCGGGACCTTGCTCGTGATCAGCAATTCTCTGCCCAACTGAGCTATGGGACCAGTCGGAAACTAGAGCTGCCTTTGGAGTGAAAAACTGCTACAATTGCTGCGATTTTAAGCGCTTGGTCAATTGAGAGATTCAGAAGAAATGTTGGAAAGATGACTGAAGAGGCTATTGAATCGCCTAATGTCTGACTATCACCAAATCCTCAACCGGCTGGTAGACTTGAAAATACGACTTCACTTATGGGCTCACCACACAGCAGTAAGGGTTTGAGGGCAAAGTGCGGGAAAAGGATTGACAGCATCAGGGTACTAGTATCCCTCCTGGGATCCAACTTTTTTTCTTTATTTTTTACGCGAAACCACAAACCTCGAGAACAGAGTACTGCATGATAGAGGTGGCTGCAGACGCAACTGTGGTGGTGAAACTGGAGCATCCCCGCCAACCTGAGGTCTCAGCTTCAGCGACACTTCAGTTCACCATAATGTGGGGAGTAGGAGGCACAGGGGAGGGGGGGGGGGGAGTACATTTTTAGAGCATGATTGCATTTACCTCTGCCCCAAGGTAATATTTCTTACTAGTGTGGGTGGCTAAATCAGATTACACCTATTATGCTGTATTGCCCGGAGCATAAGGCGAAGTTGAGTACATTTTAATTTCTACCGCGCGCAGCAGCACCAACTCCTTGGCTGCACAAAATCACATATCCCTGAGCATGCCCTATTAGGATTTGAAGTTTGTTTTGGAGAGATTTGGAGAGGTTTTCATTTCGTGTATCCAAGGACATGGTCGGCTGTGGATGATGGAAATGAAAATCATGACAAGGCTTCAGAGGAGTTACGCCATCATTATTTGGAGTATATTTTTGTAGTTTTATTTTTTATAACAGCGCACAAACCTACGGAAGAAGGAGAAACAGTACAGAATACTGAATTGAGAAAAACAATGAAAGTTCAGGCCATTTCACTTCGCCCGCGTCAGTACACAGTGCAGTTCGAACTCCAGTTGAGGCACCTTTTTCGACCTTTTTTCAAATTTTCGATCTCCTGGCACTGCCCCATGTAGGGTAAAATCACCAAAATAATACAGGAGCCCGCCAGAGTCATCTCTTTATGGATGGATTATATTTGCACACATTTACCCCTGCATCTTTTCTGTAATCTTTTGTTTCAGTGGCGCGCTTTTGTGGCAATGAAGCCCAGACCCTATGGTCGGTCAAGCTGCCCTGCTTCTCCCCCGCTCCTGCCTTACCACACATGTCTATCTCATGAAGGGGAGGGCACACCACACTCACACACACACACACACACACACACACACACACACACACACACACACACACACACACACACACACACACACACACACACAGACACACACACACACACACAGACACAGACACACACACACACAGACACACACAGACACAGACACACACAGACACACACACAGACACTTTATGTACCCACCAAAACACGGCTTTGATATTTTGGCGCCCATCGCTGCAGACGATGAAAGCAATGCTACAGCAGAAGAGCTACATCAGAAGTCAAAGCAGCCAGTATCGGGATTGCATCATTCATTGCGAGGCTGAATACAGTATAGCATGTACTAGGAAGGACGTCATTTTTTAAATTTAATATTCATTTAGACTTTATTTGAAGTGTTCTCCAAAAGTAAATGGATACGCATCGGGGGAGTTTCCTAGAAGGGTGGATGAGACGAAAGGGAAGTGACAAGGGGCTAGGGAAAATACTTTTAACAGAAACACTGCTCAAAGAAAACCACAGCCAAAACACGCCCGGGAGAAACAGAATACATGACGAGCACTTGATATGAAAATCAGGAATTCCAGCAGTGGAGAATTTAAATAATGGTCCTTCACGAGAAACCGAAACTTACCAGAAGATCGGTCCCTGCGTAGGCTCACAGCTAGCTTGTTCCAAGCAACTGATCAACGGAAAAGAGGAGATTTAACGAAATGAGTTACAGAACGAGGCAAAACGATAGAGGAAGGGTGACGGAAGCTGCTGGAGATGGTCACGCTGTTAAGGTGGCAGACTACCCAAAAATTCGCTGAAAAATCGAATTTGTAAATTCATTTTGAGTGCTACGTCAGTTGAAAGAGCATGAATAGCTGCAAATTCTCTGAAAAGTGTGTCCCGATCTGACCGGCCGTTCAAGAGTTATGGCCGAAAATGTGCCCTTGCAAGGAAAGATTTTTTTGTTGCACTCTGTCATTTGTTGGCAGCACTGTATTTGAATGTGAGCAGACCGTGCGCAACTTGTCGTATCATGGAAACACGTGAAAGTGTGCAGAATTTTGCTCCAAGTCCAAAAAATCAGGTTTTTGAGCCACGTTTGGGCTGCACGGCGGCCGCCGTGCAGCAGGACTTTTGCCAGCACCCTCGTGACGTTGCAGATATGTGGCTTGATTATTGTAGTTGACGTTGATTTAGTGACTTTGGCAAGTTTGAGTCGTGTCAAGAAGTCAGGTAGGGTTCAGTACTAGGCAGTAGTGAAACGTGAGTGGTAGTCTTTGCCGGGTTCTGAGGGTATCCTGGATTTGGTGTGCAGCGCTGTGGAGGTCCCAGCACTGGATGTTGTATCAAAGGTACGACCTCGTAGCACGTGCTAAACCTAAAAAAAATTCAAAAATTGACTTGGGTCTGTGGGAGTGTGTGAGAGAACGCCCACTCGTTCCGTTGTGACAGATTCCAGGGCCTCGTTGAGGGGCCCTACCCCATCACCCATGGCTGCTTCTGGACTTGTTCTAGGTTTGAGTCCCGCGCACGAACAGAATGAGCACGAAAATGTGAAAAAATTGTAAATGCATTTGTTTGGCTCCTGGGTGGCTCGCACACCGTGGCACTATGCCGGAAATTTGAGTTTTTCCGGCCTGGAAAGCCTGTCAATGAGGCGCAAGAACTTGTAAATCATGTCCTGAGGGCCAGCATAGTGGCAGGAGTGTGTGGTCAAAATTTCACTCAAATCCATTGAGAAACACCAAGGTTACGGTCAATTGAATGCCATATGAAATTTATGGGTAGGCTGCCCCCTTAAGTGTCGCGGCTCCTTCGATGCGCATAGCAATGGAGTGCACTAAGGACAAACAAATATTGCGTCCTCTGGCTGTGGATGGAATCAGTTGAGTAGGTATCTGCTCTGAAACAAGCCGAAATAAGTGGCCATCACCAGTGCAGGGTCGGTTTTCCCTGTTCGTTCTACAGTGTACACTAATCAGCAAACGAAGCACAGAAGCCATAATTATAATGTTTTCGACTAGGCCTTTCATTCCATTACTCTTCAGGTCGAATACAATGGTGATTAACAAGGTAGTAATCAAGTCGCACTGCAGCTAGCCCTCACTACTTCGGACATCAAGCGCCCCCGTGGACGACTCCACAAGAGATGGGTCGACAACATCAAAGAAGACCTCGAACCTCTGAATGTGCCGATTCAGGAATGCCTCAACCTCGCCACCAACAAGCAACGCTGGTTAACGATCATTGACAGATGCATGACCCCGTATGATTTTTTATGCGGGCAATATGCGACCTGTTCATCTTATTATTATTATTAAGTTTAAGCAAGTCCTTATAACCGGCACTTTTGGTTAAGTTTAAGCAAGTCCTTATAACCGGCACTTTTGGCCCGCAGAGCATTGACAAAAATAGCACTTGAAAAATAGCGCTAGTGGCGCCAACAGCGTATTTGGCGGTCAGAGCACTTTAAAAGATAGCGCTAGGCTAGCCTAGTGGCGCCATGGCGTCAACTACACAGTGAAACAATGAATAATATTATTACCAGTATCAGACAACAGTGGGGACCATGGTACTACAATGTCAAAAACAGTGACAACTTTCGCACATACTTCTTTTGCACGCACAGTTCAGGCTTCAGCTTGGCAATGTACACTGCCTCCAGCACAGCAAGGTGAGTCTCCGCAACAACGCTCTGTAACAAGCCGCTGATATGTACAGGATCGGCAAGTGGAACAGTGTGTGACTCATCGCCCTGCAGAGAAGTCGCCAGCGGGCCGCGGCATAAATGCGATACACAACATCTACCACACTGGTCCACAGGAATGGACCAACGGACAATGACGATAATGTCATATATATGATTATGAAGGACTCAGCGATACTCCGTCACCTGACATCGTCACCAGTGCTCAGACACCAGCTTGCTAGTGCAGTCTGCAAACATGTTAAAACATGGCACCCGGCATGCACCGTACTGGTGGCGGTGCACCCACTCTCACTTCACGATTCATGCGCGTGCGCGCAACAAAATTAATGTCACCTTGCACTTGCTGTGCTGGATCATGGAGGCAGTGTACATTGCCAAGCTGAAGCCTGAACTGTGCGTGAAAAAGAAGTACATGTATGTGCGAAAGTTAGTTAGTTGTCACTGATGTCTTTCGCTCCTTGCATTTACATCGTAATTGCTTTGTGTGTTCAATAAATCACGTTTTAGTAGTCCGCTACATGTATACAGTTCAGTATACTAGGTATTACAGTGCTTGCAACTGAAATCCGACCCCCTTGCCGGCGCGGCGCGCAGGCAAGGGGTCGGATTTCAGTTGCCAGCACTGTAGTAAAATGTACTAGCAAGGCAGGGATACTACCTGGTACTAGTACTTAGTAGTTGTTTGTGAGGTGGGCCTTGTTATTATTATTATACGCATTTCCGCGGCAGCGTCAACCAAGCAGTTATGCTTGTATGAACCATAATCCTACACAGTTGCGTCGGGCATGCCGCTCTGATCAGGCCCTCGGTCATGTGAGTGATCTGGCCCGCGGTCGGATCACAAGATCACTCATAGACCTCGGTCTGATCAGAGCGCCTCGCCCAGTGCCCACGCAACTGTGTAGGATTGTGTACGTAAGCGCTGCCGACGCACACGGCGCCACGCCCTTGAAAAAGCTCTAGACTACAGTACAGTATGTATAATTATTATGACGCCAACTATCAAATATCGCAACCACTACTTATTACGCCAACTATCCATTATAATATAGAGTGATTTGCACACTGAAACTAACCTTGATTTTATAGATTGGAGTTGAGCATGAATACCTGATTGCGCTGCCAATTCGATCTCAGGCGCAATCTCTTGCTGTGCTGGCGACATTGGATCATATCCCAAGCTATGTGGGTTCTCCGCCCTGCTGAAATGCTCCATGATATTACTTTCACGTGGATCGAATAGACACCTTTCGTTACCAGCATCGGTAATGTTGTCTTCGGCAATTCCCGTCAGCCAGATAACCAACAAGCCACAAAGCCTAATCAGTGCAACCTTTTCAATCCTAGTTGACAGTAGTGTGCGAAGTACTTGGAATATGCTTCGTAGTATTCCGATCGCATTAAAAGAATGCACAACTTTACTTTGCAATGGCCAATACATTTCACTACACATTGCTCTACTTTCCGACCAACCTCATGAGCTCAAGACAAATGAAAAAGAATACTACCTGCCAAATGCGCCTACAGGCAATGAACAGCTAGCTAGCTTCCGCACGACAGAATAATATCAAAGACTTAGTAAGACAAACGATAATAGCATGCTAGCAACACGCTGACAAGCCCAAAGGCTAAGCTTTGTAAGTTAGTTGAGTGCACGTTCACTGGGGCAAGTACCGGTTAGTTTGGGTTGTATTTGTGAGACTAACTAAGACTTAGAGCCGCCCACAAAGAACCAGTGCGTGGGAATCAATGACATAAGCGACAGGCTAGGCTGTGTAGTTGAGTTGCACATATTTCAGCGACCATCAGACAGCAGCATTCACTGTTGAATCCTCTACGAGCAGGCCTAGATTAGATTCTTGATGCTAGTGAGTAGTGTGGAAGTAAGTTAGTTAGTGCATACATTGTACAGTGTATGCACACATACATGTGCAATGTATGTGTGATGTAAAGACGCGGCATTGGCATTACAATCATGTATATGTACACCCACGGTCAACGGGGTACTCACTACTCGGAGTGAGGGAAACATGGACGCAGCTACGACTACGAGGTCAGCAGCCCCCTTGTCGCCAAGTTGTCGGGCATTGGTTGTGAGACTTACCACCTCACCCTCGGCCTCGCCGTTAGGCGCTGCATCTGCCACCCTGGTATCACAGGTAGCCCTTTCCCAAAGGTGCTCGCCCTTTTTTTCGCCCTTTTCGCCCCTTTTTGGAAAAGCCCGTTTCTTTCGCCCTTTACTGCGCTTTTTGGTGAATATCGCCCTTTTTGAGCTTTTTTAGCTGAAAAAGTGCTAAAATCTGTTTGCTCATGCATACGATCACAGTTTCCGAGTGCTCGATGGGCCTTGGCACGCCGCTTTTGTTTGGGGGGGGGGGGGCAACAAGTAGTAAGTTGGTGAAGATTGCACCGGTGTACACAATGCTGTAAAAAGTGGGTTTTTTGAACTTTATTTCCTGTCTTGCCTTTCGTGGACCCATTAATGGAAGAGTGCGTATTCATTTCTCAGCTAGAGTTCATAATTATCTGAACATGTATCATGGCTATGCTTCACTGAAAAAGGTCACTTTTTGCCTGTTTTCACTGAAAAAAGAGCTATAATGTCCACAAACACCACCATATTCGATGAGTACAGAGTAACGCTTGCCAAAAATGCGTTGGAGTAAGCACAGATAATTTTAACATGATTATTACTCAATCTGCGGACAGAACTGTTTCGTCCTTTGTGGACATGATTATTATTCACTAGTTTGAGGGAAAGAGACAAACGGGAAAATTATTATTATTATTATTATTTATTTAGCTCCACGTAAGCTTTTTAATTATTATTATTATTTTTTTTAGAGCATCGCTGGCTACAAGCGAGGGTCCCTTGTTCGAGTCCCGGTGGTGACAGTCAATTTTTTCTTCAGACTTTTTCCCGTTTGTCTCTTTCCCTCAAAACCAGTTAATATTACTATTATTATTATATCATTTTTGAGCTCATATTTTATTTTCCTGATTTCTTCTCCAGTGTATGTTGTATTGCATTTTAATACATTGTGTTAATTTTTGCCCGTAAAAGAGGCTTGCACTCCATAAAAAAAATAATAATAATTGTTTGTCTCTTTCCCTCAAACCAGTTAAATTATTATTATTATTTATTACGAAGTAGTGGTTGCGACTTCGGCGATGATTTGTAAGAAAGGGTTTTCTCCGGTGTGGGGAGCAAACCCTTTCTTACAAATCATCGCCGAAGTCGCAACCACTACTTCGTACTGTTGTGCCCAGCGCGGGCTTGCGACTAGTTGGTTCGGAAGTGACAGCGTTGCGAATGACCGAGGGTCCTCGACGTCTGTCTCACCGTCCAGGTGCGACACTGACTCACGCTGCTATCTGGTGTTCACGAGGTGTTTGTCGCGCTGGAAGCGGAGCGTCTCTGTAAGTTTGTATCCCTGGTGATGTTTGTGCCTGGAGAGCACTATAAGTGGTGCTCTTCAGGCACAATCTTCCTCAGCCTACTCAAGCTCAACTGATGAGGGGTGAATTCCCCGAAACACTGTGTATTGAGCAGGGAGTGGTGCTTTCTTGGAGGTTTGCGGAGTCTAAGGTTCGATGGACTTCTCGTGGGCTCTGGATGGCAGTCGTGAGTCAGTCATGTGTCAAGTAAAGTCGGCGGAATAGCGCGAGCTCCGGTGTGGGGAGCAAATTCTTTATTATTATTTATTCATATTTTAATAGGGCATTCCCCACGGACTCAAGGTCAAGTTAATTGAGAAGAAGAAGTAGCGACGACCGGCCATTAATTTATGGAATCCAATACACCACACCACCGCATTGCGCTCTTGGCCGATCCAAACTCTGCACTCACATCACCATCACCACAGCGAGGACAATTCCGGTAGATAGATTGAAATTGACAATGACCCTCCAGACAGCTGTTTCGCTCCTCCTGAGCTCATCAGTGGAGGCATAATAATGTTGAATGAAAGAAAAATAAGAATAGACTGATTTTTATAGGGCAAAATTGGCGCAATTGCGCTCATATCTGCATGGAAACGTGGCATACCCTAAGTGACAAAAATGACAAAAGTGATAACAAGGTCAGGTGATAACGACACGCGCTCATGGCTGGGACAGGAACATGTAGCATGTGTGAAAAGGGGGGGGCGCAAAAAACAGCAGTCAGTCTAACACCAGAAAGTTAGTTATTGCATGTGCCACAAAAAGAAAGATACTGCGGAGGGTCATTGTCAATATCAATTATAGCAATAAAAACTGCTTTATGGCAGTTTTCTAAAAAAAGTTATTGTGTTCTCGTCCATGGACCCCGTCTAAAAAGTAAGAAATTAACGAAATGTGATAGCCGAAAATTAAAATTTCACACAAAACCTCACAATAATCACAACACTTGAAATGCTGCTTTCAACACTAAACTTGTACTGCACAACAATTGGCAACATGCATGTCATGCATGCATAGGAAAGAGGATCACGAGGGGAAAAGGTCTTATTATTATTATTATTATTATTATTAAATTTTGAATAGGGCTGTCCCACAGGCCTAGGGCCTTTTTACAGGTCTTCTTTCCTTGGCGCTGATAGGTGGAATTCTCTGCCTGTCTCGTGTCGTCAGGTTGAGCATCTATCCGTTTTTGTTTCGCTCTGTAAAGAGCACTTAGGGTTCCCTGTAACAAGACGGCAACGTCTGTAGGGCCTTCCCTATCAAAATAATAAATTCTACTACTACTATTCTACTTCTGCATGTAGCCTTTCATTCTGTATGTGATTATTGTGAGGTTTTGTGTGAAATTTTAATTTTCGGCTATCACATTTCGTTAATTTCTTACTTTTTAGACGGGGTCCATGGACGAGAACACAATAACTTTTTTTAGAAAACTGCCATAAAGCAGTTTTTATTGCTATAATTTCTTTTGTTTTTTCTGTCACCAATCAATGGAATGCCCTATATCAATATGTAAATGATGGCCTTCACATCATATCAATTACACCGTATCATACGCAATGATGTGCAAGCCTTGTCTTGCAGAAAATGGCACTAGCATGTTCTTCTGCAGGGATACATGTGAGTAGTGGTGGACCGTGGTGATACTTTTTTTATACGGAGGTCAATCTGTGCATGTTGCTGTAGCAGAATTTCATGACTCTGTCATAAAATTGTCTTGCCTTTCAGATATTTCAGATTTCCCCACCCTCGATCAGATTTATTTGAGAAATGTAACCAGGTGCGTGTCGCAGATGTTTTTGTTGATTCTGTGTTTATAATGGTTTATAATCATGGGTTATCGTGATAAGGTCATCCTGCATCATATTGCACTGAAATCGTAATCCTGTTGATGTCGATACAACTTTTGGAAGTACAATGTCGTTCAAAGACTTCAAACTGGTAGTCCACGATTTTCTAAAACAACACAGCAAAGGAGAAACAATAAACATGTATAAAAATGTAAACAAATACATTGCTCAGTCCGACACCTCGTTCCAACAACTACACTGATCCTGAGGATAAAAGGGGCAAGGCTATGGTTGGAGGTACTGAGAGATAAACAAGGCACTCCATAATAATAAAATCTTACACATATTTTGGTGAGTATGAATGATATCCTCTTTAGGACGAACACCAAGCTACCAATGGTATTTATTCTGTGAGTTTGTCTTAACCTATTTTATAACCAGTGAATACAATTATTTCTCCAATAGACATACAAATAGATTTCTTCTACAGCGAAAGATTCTAAGCCACACCAACTCATTGACTTGTCTCGTATGAAACAAATGAGTCACTAGAGAGGTTCTGCAAAACGAAAATGCGTACAAACGTTCGTTCATTGTCATCAAGAGTACATGAAAACCAGAGTGTGCAGCTTGGGGCCTTTTCTGCTATGGGTGTCTGTCACGGCGAAATTCCGTGATTACATCATATTTGGCCCAGATCTGAGGCGGGAAGTGGCGTAGTGCGTACAACTGAGCTGCAGTTGTGCAGAAAGAGACCTGCTTGAATCCTGCTTGTACGCACTACATCACTAAAATGATGTAATCACGGAATTTCGCCGTGACAGCAACCCATCCGAGCTGCACACTCTGGTTTTCATGTACTCTTGTTGTCATGAAGTGCAAAACTTCGCACGAACTTTCGCAACTTTGGACGCGAAACTTGCAGGGAACGCGAAATGAACTGTCGTAGGACATTTCGTGAGATCGGGTCATGGCGTACGTGCACTTGGCCCGCGCAAACTACGAAAATGTGCAGAACACAAAGTTCGTGCAAAAATTCGTACACATTTTCGCAAGGACTGTCGCGAAACTTCGTTCGAATTTTCGTTTTGCAGAACCTCTCTACTGAACGTTTCTTTAGCAACATGACGGCAACGGAAACAGCAACGAAAAAAAGTACGATACATGTACAGCACATTCTTGCAGGTACTACAAACAGATTGCAGATCGTAATTCTTGCTTTGGCGGCACGAAACTTTATTTGGGGCAGTGCAATCCCGGCGGTACTCACAAATAATAAATCAAAAGCCCAGACTTGAGTAAACAAACCCAATCATACAAGTACGAGATCTTCACGAGACGAGACTGCACCCTTTGACTTGTTTCGTATGAAGCAAACAAGTTTACTTAACCTCTCCACAATG